TAAATTACATATTTCTGCATGGGTTTGATTTTTTTTTAATTTTTATTAATGAAACAACATGAGGCACAGCTGTAGACTTACAAATTTTTGTGCTTGGGTTTCAGTGGGAATATACCCCGGAGAGGCAAAAAAAAGCATAGTCGAAGTGACATTTGCACTTGTTTGTTCATTGCAGCACTCTTTACAATAGCTAGAATCTGGAAAAAACCTGAGTGCCTGAGAACAGATGACTGGTTGAAGAAACTTTGGTACATCTACACAATGGAGTACTATGTAACTGTTAGAAAGGATGAAATCATAAAATTTACATACAAGTGGTACTACATGAAAAGTATCATGCTAAGTGAAATGAGTCAGAAAGAGAGGGACATATATAGAAAGACTGCATTCATCTGGGGAACATAAAGTAACAAAATAGGAGACTAACACCCAAGAATAGCCGAGATAAGTACCAGGAGGTTCACTCCATGGCTTGGAGGCCAGCCGCACACTCTAGGCACCTCAGATAGAGAAGGGAGCACCAAATAAAGGGTGTTGGGAAGATCTGCCCAGGATGGGAGATGCATGCTGAAAGTAGACTATAGACCAACTCCAAAGTCTCTTAATCAGGTAGGGCATTTCTCTTGCACACCTCCGACCCGGGTTCAATCCCCAGCATCCCATATGGTCCCCCAAGCACCACCAGGAGTAATTTTCTGAGTGCAGAGCTAGAAGTAACCCCTGTGCTTCACTGGGTATGACTCAAAAAGCAAAAATTAAAAAAAAAATTCTTAATCATACCTTCCCAGCCTCAGTGCAAGTCTAGTAAGTAACAAGTTTGTTTGTTTTTTAAACAAAGTATCAGATGGTTCTGTGTGCTACACACTATCTCAACCCAGGTCTTTAACGGAGCTCAACAGAAACAAAGTAAACCCCACAGATGGTAGCCAGTTCCAATAAAACTTTGTTTCCAGAAAACGGGGCCACAGGTACCAGGTCAGTTTATCTAGTTGTGTTTCCTCCAGAAGTCTCTCACCAGTATTTGTGAAATATGCCAAGTCTCAGGAACTGCTTCAGACCTACCAAGCCAGAGACTGATAGGACTGGAATGACACCGTGTTTAAAAAGCCTTCTAGGAGATTCTGATGGGGATTGCGTTTTGAGAACTGTCTTTTCAAATATCGATCCAAATAAGAATAAAGACTACATTAGCTTTATTTAATGAATCAGGCAGCACTCCTCTAGTGAGTAGGAAAACTCCCTGTGGAGTTGTAGAAATGGAAGGGTCTTCTAGAACATGAGGAGAAAAGACTTACTTTAGTCACCGATTTTGCCCCAGATCAGGACAGCCAACTTTGAAGACAGGAAAGTTTCTAGCATTCAGAAGCCTGTCGGCTATGGTTGACTTGGACTCTTGAAGGTAGCTTTCCTAGGACTTAAGCTGCAGTTGCTTAGATATCCAATCATATTTCGATGTAGTTTGGCACAAGTGACTCCATTCTTGGGTAAGGTACCACTTTTTTAAAATTTTATTTTAATAGAACCATTGGTAATGTTCCTGATTATTTGCCAGGGACTCTCCTAGCACGTAAATTTATGGATTTTTGGAATTTTCTATCTGCTGGCCATGACTATATTTTAGTCATAGAAGCCATTCATTTAGCAGCAAATACCACCTCACCGCTGCTGCATTACATTTTAGAGATTTGATCATTCTGCCTAAATAAGTCTGTGAAATCTTACTTAACGCATTACTCTGTTGCTGCAATTTGTGCCAGTTAAATTACATGCAAGTGTGAGCCACCTATGGTATGTGTGGAAGTCCTCATCTTTGTTTTGTTTAGAGGGGCCACACCTGTTGGTGCTGGATACGCCCCTGCAGACAGCGCCAGAGGGGAGCTTGCTGCCTAGCTTGGGGTTCCGCGGTGGAGGAGCACCCCATAGTTCAGGGGCTCCCTGCCACATGCAAAGCATGGTCTCTAGTCCTTGAGCCATCTCCCCAGTCTTTAGTGAATTTTTGTTTTGTTTGGGGGTTAGCCCTGACCTAGGTCCTCCAGGGTTCCTCCTGGAATTTCTTAGGTGTCTTTGAGGTACCAGGGATTGAACTGGGCCTTTAGCACGTGCTCAGCCCTCTGAGCTATGATTCCAAATTTGGTTGAATAGTTTTACAGAGGGCTGGAGTGATAGCACAGCGGGTAGGGCGTTTGCCTTGCACACAGCCAGCCCGGCCGACCCAAGTTCGATTCCTCTGCCCCTCTCGGAGAGCCCGGCAAGCTACCCAGAGTATCTCGCCCGCACTGCAAGCCTGGCAAGCTCCCCGTGACATATTCGATATGCCAAAACAGTAACAAGTCTCACGATGGAGATGGGCCCAGTAAGGGCCCGCTTGAGCAAATTGAACAACGGGAGGACAGTGACAGTGACAGTTTTACAAATGATTCATATGTTTTTGTTAGTTGGTTGGTTTGGTTGTCAGGTCACTCCTGGTGGTACTTGGGGCTTATTTCTGGCTCTACACAAAGAGATCGCTCCTGGAGAGCTTCCAGGGGTGCAGGGGAATCCATGTTGGTCCCGTGCAAGACAAGCACCTTACTCACTATACTCTCTCTCCAGTACCTCGTATGTTTGATTTTTACCCAAGGATAATTAAATTAGGTATGATCAGATAGAGAAATACCATGACTTTGATCACAGACATATTTAATAAATAATACACAATAACAACACACTGCATTGAATGCTGATAAACAATCAGGAAAAGGAAACAATCATCTTCTAAAGTGTTTTCATGACTAATTTTGAAAATGTATTGCTTTTAAGTAATGAATCTTTTAAAATCCATTCCATGGCTGAGGCTATCAGTAGTCTTCATTATACTCCTCAAAATGCATGACACCTTATTTGAATGAAAACAATGCAGTCAAACTGCCTCTGACAGGAAGCAAATCTGATTGGGCTAGACTGCTGATGAAAACAGATTCTATTAATTAGGTTACACAGCAAACATCTATACTTGACAAACCATTTCTATCTGAGTCCACTGCATTATTAGCTGTGAAATTCTGACCACAAAAAAACTGAGGTCCTCAAACATGATTGCCATTCAATGCCTCTTTTGCAAACCGCAACACCCAAAAGGAGAGAGAGAGAGAACAAAAGGGAATGCCCTGCCACAGAGGCAGGGTGGGGTGGGGGGAATGGGGGGTGGGAGGGATACTGGGACCCGTGGTGGTGGAAAATGGGCACTGGTGGAGGGATGGGTACTTGATCATTGTATAACTGAAACCCAAGCACAAAAATTTGTAAGTCTACAACTGTACCTCATGGTGTTTCACTAATAAAAAAAATTGCGGTCCAGAGAGATGGTACAGGGCTTTCTGATCACCACATCCCACATGGTCCCCAAAGCAACCATAAAGCTGAGCACCGCCATTATGGCCCAAATGTACTCCAACTGTAGCACTGTCCTCCAGTTGTTGATTGATTTTGAGTGGGCGCCAGTAACGTCTTGTTGTTACTTTTTTGGCGTATCGAATATGCCACGGGGAGCTTGCCAGGCTCTGCCATGCAGAATGTACTCCCATCCAAGAAAAAAAAAAACTGAACCCTTTGAAAAGCACTTTATCCAAAACTATAAAATGAATGTTCTCTCACAGTGATTCAGTAAAATAAAAAATTAATCTTAAAACATAAAAGTACATTTAAAATAATAACAATACCAAAAAAAGTGTACTGTTTCCCTGTGTATGAGAACATCAGATTAAACAAGGTATAATTTTTTTTTAAGTTGAGCTCACAATCATTTGATGTCTTAATAAAACCTAATTTAGTATATTCCCCAGAAAGTGAAAACGTGAAATTTCAGACTTGTAAACACTTGACTTGGCAAGTCAGTGGTTTTCAACTCTTGCCTTCAAAACAATTGAAGGAAGCCTTAATCGCAGTCACAGATCGCCAATCTGCAAGATCCGGCTCAGAGATCATAGCATCTCACTTCTTGAAATCTAGAATCAAGTGATACCCAAAGTGTTCCTAGATACAGCACTCATTTATAGGTACACTGGCTTCTCGGGGCATTCAGCTCTGAAACCTGAAAACAGGACTAAAACTAACGTCCATTCCATTTCGTCCTATCCACAAATCACTCACGCCCAGAGACATTTCGAGCAACGACAATACTCATTTCACCGAACGACACATTTCCAGGACCGTTCCGCATTTCCAATCCTGTTCTATTCCACGATGAGAACGTGTGGCTACGTATTTTGACTTTGTTCCGTCCTGTTCGGTTCTCAACACTGAGTCGGAAATGGTGCTGTCTTGTCATGACCTTGGGCAACGAGCCAATCATCGCAAACCGTTGTGAGCAGCGCGGCCCGTGAGAAATTCCAAGAACGGACCGAGAGCGAGCGTTAAACGCTAGGAAAAGGCTGGCACGCCGAGCCGGGGCCGGCGTGCATGCCCTAAGGCCCTCCCTGCACCCACCGGGACCGCGGTCCCCGGAGCAAAGCATTAACCCTGTGAATGCCGGTGGGTCGCTCTTCTGGGGCGCTTCGTGCGATCGGAGTCGCACGGAGCGGGACAGGGACGCCCAGGAAGGATGCAACGAGGGCTTGGGCGTTCGAAAAGTGGGTGCGCCGACACGGGGCGTTTCCCTGCACAGACGTGGCCAGGGGCCAGCGGTCAGAGGCCCAGAGCCCCAGGCTGCCGCAGAGGGAAGTCGCAGAGCCCCTCTCCCCGGCCGTCGCGCCAGCTCCTCTCCGCCCGGCGGCCGGGCCCGGCGGGGGCGCGCGCGCGCGGCGGCGGCGAGAACTGGCCCCTGGCAGCCACCGTCGCCGCCCCGCCCCGCCCCTCCCCGCGGCCGCCGCGGTCACGCCTTCTCCTTCCGCCCCCGATTCCCTTTCACTTCCGGGACGGCGCCGGCCGCGCAGGTTCCGTCACAACATCCCGCGGGCTCGGCCGCCGCCGCCGCCGCCGCCGCCGCCTCCCGCGCCGTCCGCTCCCCGGGGCCGGCCGCCGCCATGGCCAGCAACCCGCAGGCGCAGCCGCCGCCGCCCGCGCCGCCCCCGCCGCCGCCGCAGCCGCCGCCGCCGCCGCCGGGCCCCGGGGTGGGCCCTGGCGCCAGCGGGCCCGGCGGCGCGGGCGCGGGCGCGGGGGACCCGCAGCTCGTGGCCATGATCGTCAACCACCTCAAGAGCCAGGGCCTCTTCGACCAGTTCCGCAGGGACTGCCTGGCCGACGTGGACACCAAGGTGCGGGGCGCGCGGCGGGGTGTCCCCGGGGCGCCCCGCGGCCGCTTGGCCGCTGCTGCTGCCGCCGCTGCTCTTGCCGCGGTCGCAGCGGTTGTAGCGGCTGCAACTGTTGCAGCGGCTGCAACTGTTGCAGCTGCAGCCGGGCCCGGGCGCGGCGCGTTCATTCATTCGCAGGCTCCCCGCGCTGCGGCCCGCGGTTCCGGCCCGACTCCGGCCGCTGCCGGCCGCTGCGAGCTGGCGGTAGGGGGGCGGGGTGGCCTGTGAGCACGCTTGGGCAAGTTGTGCAGGCTTTCGGAGCCTTCCCGCCCCGCCCCCCGACTCACTTTTGAGGGATGGGGGGGAGGGGGCGGTGCGGGGGACGGGGGAGTGCGGTAAGGGGCCAAGCGTGCATCGTGGCCTCTGTGCTTTGGAGCAAGGGCTAACGGGCCCGTCCGAGGCCGCTTTTGCCCCATGCGCCGTGCTGGACAGTGTGCGGTGGGCGTGTGTGGGTCGGGAGAGGCCCAAGTCAGGAGGCCGCGCTGGGCTGATGAAAGGGGGTGGAGGTGGGAGGAGGGCGGGCCTGGCTTTGCACCGGGCGCCTCCGGGACCAAGGTTGCGGACCCCCGAGTCATGTCCGCGGGAGTGTTGTTCCGCGGGACGGGGAGGTGGAAAACAGGGCCCAGCACGGGTCAGCGAGGGGAAGACAGGGGGTACCCTGCGTGAGGGTGCAGTGAGCTTGAGCAGGAACAACCTGGTCCAGCTGGTTGAGCAAAAACCCAGCGCTTGGTTTCCCCCAGCAAAGACCGTTCATCGTGGTGGGTTTTGGGGTTGTACCGCCCAGGGCTCATGGGGCCTGGAGGGGGGCGTTTGTCTGGTTTACATGCGTGTGGTTTCATCAGATTGGAGTGTTGACGGGTGGGGCAATTTCTGGGAGGTCCCTGGGATCTTCTGGGCCTAGAATCTCCTTTTTGTGATAAAAGAGATGTTGGCAGCGACTGTGAATTCCTCCCCAGAACTCACTGTTGACCGGGCTTGGGACAGTCAGTTCTGCGCTCTTCTCTGGGAACTTCCAGATAAACCCGTAATCTGCTTTGTTTGCAAGTACCTACAGTGTAGAAAGTGTCTGGTTGCGGGTGGGAGGTGTCGGGCAGAGAATTCCCTGTGTTTGGAATGTACCCTTGTGGGAATCACGTTGGTTTCTGTTGGAAGGGGGTTGTGCCCAGCCACTTAGCCATGCAGGGCCTTCTGCCCTTCTTGCTACTTGCAGATTTTGGACCAGCCCAGGTAAATGCTGCCAGATAAAGCTGGTATTTGTGGACAGAAAGTAGGTATTTCACCTGCTTTCTTCCACCCCTCCCACCAACATCCCTCCCCGCCCCCCCCCCCACAGAAAACTCTGTAAAAGCAACAGTTGTCATCCTGTGTGCAAGTCCACGTTTGAAAATACAGTAATGGGGACGGCCACTGGTTCCCAAGGCTGAGCCTGTTCTTCCTCATCTTCCTCACCTGCCCTGAGTTGCTGTTCGTACCTGTTGTCCCTCTCACATCTCAGACTGGACTGTTCCAGCCTTTGGGGGCCCCAGGGCCAGTAGCACTTTTGCTTTCGGGAGCCCAGTGAATCCTGGGCCCTTAAGCCGAGAGGAAAGCAGACGCACACCATTGCCTGCCAGTGCCTTCCTGAAGGGTTGCTGGAGGGAGCTCTGCTGCTCAGCCCCGGGCATGGCTTCTGGAGTAAGTCCCCACACCCGTGCTGGAGAGATCCCTTCCTCCAGGCAGACACTAGTGCTTCTCTCCACCTCCTGCCCTTCCTCTCCCTCCTCCCCTCGCCCCCTCATACCCACTCTCCCTTCCATATCCCTCTCTCCTGTCTTCCCCCCTCGGTTCCCCACTTTCCCCCTTTTCTCTCCTCTGGGTCCCCCTTTCCCTCCAGCCACTCCTGCCCCCTTGCTCCATCCCTCCATCCCTCCCCTTCCATTCCCCCTCCCCCTTCCCTCCTGCCCTGCCCCTTTCTCCCCTCTCCTCTTTCTTCCCCTCTTGCTGGTCTCCCTCTTCTCTTCTTCCTTGCCCTCACCTCCTTCATCCCTTCCTTTCCTCCGTCTCGCCGCCCCTTCACCCCAACCCTGGGCCTTTCCCTCTCCTTTGGTTCTGTGCCCGCCGCTTGTGTTTTTTTCACTTGTTATTTTGGTTGGTGGCCTCTGGGCAACGCTCAGGGCACTTGTGGAGCTGGGGTTCCAGCTGGGCTCAGCGGCATGCCCCGCAGCGCCTTGACCCCCGAACTAGGTCCTGGCTCTTTCTGATGTCTTACTGTTCTCCTTGACTGGGCTCCTTCTGCTTTTTGTCTTTTCCTTAATCAGCAGTTCTGAAGACTTTTTTTTTTAAAAAAAATAAAAAAAAGTTGTTCTTCTTGAGCAATATCTTATACTCCTTGATCTTTTGAATAAGGGTAAGTTTTAAAAGCTGGTTTTCTTGGAACCTTCCTATCAGATGATGTGCTCGAGCTGCTTGGGCCCGCGCCTGCCGGCTTCCCAGGGTCGGACGGAATTGACTGGGGCATGTGGGTGATGGGGGGTACATGACAGAGTTGACCAGGACATGAGCGGGGACAGGGTCTGACGGAGTTGACTGCGGTGGGGGGAGGCGCCAGGGGGAGGGTCTGACAGAGTTGGCCGTCTTTATTGGTGGCAACCACTTTCCCGAAGCTGAGCTGTTGTGCACAATTACTTGGTAGCCCCCCCCCAACTCTGTGTGTGTGTGTGTCTGGCGGGAGGTGGGGGAGGTAGACTGCAGGGAGGCCAGTGATGTGCCCCTGAGCAGAGGGTGGGGTTGCTGGGCCCCAGGTACGGGTGGAGGCGCCATCCCAACAGGGTTGAGGCCTTCGGCGGCAGAATCTGCTGTGGATTGCACGCGGGGTAAAAGCAAAGGAAGAAGAGCTCCAGGTTTTTCCCTTTTTCTTTTTAATGAAGAGGGAACAGGAAAATGTGTTTTCTTTAGACCCTTAGGAGACTTTTTTGAGATTCTGAGTTGAGCGAACTTTTCCTGTTTCCTGACAATCGTAAGTGCAATACGAAGACCATTTACGGGGAGATGTAAGGAACGTTGGCTTGAAGCAAACGGAGTGGTGGAAGGTAGCTTTGTGTGGTTCTGGTATTGGCTCCGGATTCCTACTCAGAAGTTGGATAGAGTGGCCCAGACCATGACCCAAGACTTTTTTTGGTGTGGTTTTTTTTTTTTTTTTTTCAGGAATTGAGTTACCATGATTCACAGAATTGTTCATAATAATAGATAATAGAGTCATTTCGGGCTGGAGCGATAGCACAGTGGATGTTTGCCTTGTGCGCAGCCAGCCTGTATGAGCCAGGTTCAATTCCTCCACCCCTTTCGGAGAGCCCGGCAAGCTACTGAGAGTATCCCGCCTGCATGGCAAAGCCTGGCAAGCTTCCCGTGATGTATGCCAAACACAGTAACAACAAATCTCAAAATGGAGATGTTACTGGGCCCGCTCGAGCGAATCGATGAACAACAGGAGGACAGAGTCGTTTCAGGCATACAGTGTTCCAATACTAATCCCACCACCAGTGTCCCCAAGTTCCCTCCTACCCCGCAGCCAGGCATATAACACTTGTTTCATGCACCTTGGTCCAGTAAAGCTTAAAGGATTGGTAACTAGAATTACCAGAAAATAAGTCAGTAAAAATCACCTTGTGGTGATTAATTGCACTGTTTTTAACCTTAATCTAGTAGAGGACAACCATATGCTCCAGTCGTGCTTGCCATCCTCAGTGCCACATGATGGAGTTTCTCTGTCCTCTGAAGGAGCTCTTCCCCAAGGTGTTTGAACAGAGCAGTGGTTTTCAGCCTCTCTGCCTCTGAGGACAGGGCCTGTCTGAATATGGGCCAGGGCACTCTACCATGGCAGTTACTAGCCATGGTGCTGGACCAGATTTTGCTGGCCACTGTGGGTGAGCACTGGCAGAGGACACCAGGCAGGGAGGAAGCCTCTGGGTGCTGGTGTGTGTGTTTTCCCCAAAGAGAAACACATTTCTTTCAAGGCTTTTTGTTTGGAAACATAAAAATTACCCGTGGAGTTTGTTCTGCAGAGATTGCAAGATACATTGTAACGGGACTGTTACCGTGATAGTTTATACCTAAAACAGGCACTGCCTGGGAGGAGGACTCCCAGCCTCCCTCTGCCTCAGCGGGGCCTCCCCCAGGGCCTCCCCCAGAAGCTCGGAAGCTTCAGAACCTTGCCAGGTGCCAAATTGGCGGAGGGGGGGGGTAGTATTTTTTATTGGGGGGGGGGCTTTTGGGGGGTCACACCCAGCGATGCTCAGGGGTTACTACTGGCTGCACTCTTTGCAGTGCACCAGGGACCATATGGGATGCTGGGGATCAAACCTGGGTCAGCCGTGTGCAAGGCAAACACCCTCCACGGTGTACTATTGCTCCGGCCCCGAGGGGATAGTATTTTCTGAAGATGAGAGAGGCAGGGTTCTTTGCTGGAGGATGAGGTCTAAAAAGTTAGGGAAGTCCAAAGCCTGCCGTTTTGCTCAGACACACACTCAAACTCACTGCATTTGAAGTTCACGCTGAACGTGCAGAGAACCCAAGTATTGGTAACAGTGCGGTTCTGATGGTGCGCTCTGGCCATCCTCTGGGCCAGCTCCTCTCAAGGAGAAATGACATCATATTTCTCCTGTCCGCTGTGCTTCCCATGGTGGTCGAGGCTGGTGCCCAACGAAATTCCCAACCACTACCCACTTCATGACGGGAGCTTTTGCCCCTTAGAGGCAGCTTCCCGAAGCACCCCGGTTCCTTCTGATGTCCGCAGGGCAGGGGGCTGTGCATCCCAGGGCACAACCTTCCAGACTTTCCTGGGACTGTACTCTGTGCCTTTTCTGACTCCTCTGCGCAGACCTCTGTTATCCGACCTACTGCATGCTTCTGAGTTTCCTCTCTATGTGTTGGCGCCAGTGCTGGGGGACATTGTGAACACTCTGCCGTCACGTGTCCATGTTCCTCTGGGCCAGCACAGGTTCCCGTTCGCCCCCTGGTGCAGATCCCCAGCGGCTGTTGGCTTTGGCCCCAGCTGTGTTCGTCCTCGTTTTGTCTTCTCGCCAGCAGCAGGGGGCTCCTAGTTCCCGATGCACTGAACTCTTCTCTCGTAATAGTAGTTGTCCCCTTAGGGACCCACCATTTCTATGCCCCTGGCGCTGTGACACCTTAGACAGATGCACCTCAGACGCCACGTGCCCAGAAGCCTGGATGCCCGTGCTCTGCCCACTTGCTTTGTTCCAGGACAGCTCACATTAATGGGGGTTTTACTTTCTGGTGCCTTATCAGCAAACACAAGGTATGTCCTTGGTCTTCTTATTCTTCCCATCATGGTCTATCTTCTTAAAACAAGCAGCATTGGGGTGGCTCCTTTGTCCCGAGGCAGGACCCTCAGCAACTCAAGCTGCATGGCACACAGACAGGGTAATAATCTAAGAACCCGAGTTTCCTTAGGGGCTGGTTCTGTTTGGAGACTTTTCCCCTAATGTTTGTGTATTGTTGTCTTTTTCTCTCCAGCCTGCTTATCAGAATTTGAGACAGCGTGTTGACAACTTTGTGGCAAACCACTTAGCAACTCATACCTGGAGTCCTCACCTAAATAAGAACCAGCTGAGGAACAATATTCGCCAACAGGTGCTCAAGTAAGTCTGGGTGATGGCGTTTCTCAGTGGCTTGACTGTATGCAACCCACCTTGCATGAAAGCAGGGACTCTGCACAGAAGCTTGTTTGTGTAATGAAAACGCTTGTCAGATTGGGTGTGACTGCTTCATGGTATGATGCAGTGTAGTTTTAAAGGAACTCTTGTTGCTTCATATTTTCCCTGTAAACTTTAATTTCTCTTATAGATCTTGGAAAATACTTAAAGGGTGAAGATAAGATAAAGAGAATGAAAAGAGCTGAATGTGGGGTTTTTTGTTGTTGTTATTTTGTTTTTTGGCTTTTTGGGTCACACCCAGTGATGCTTAGGGATTGCTCCTGGCTCTGCACTAAGGAATCACTCCTGGTGGTGCTCGGCGGGACCATATGGGATGCTGAATGCTTAGAAGGATTTTTTAAAAATGATTTATTCCCCCAAGCAGATTTGTAGTATCTTGTCTTTAAATATGAATATTTGCCAAGACAAAATTCAGATATTCTAATCTGTGTGTCGTTCCCACCCCCCACCACACACACAAGAGGGCAAATAATTAAGTTATTTAAAGAGAGTTCAGTCATCCTGCCTTGACAAATATTTATATTTGTTCGTCTTTTAGAAATAATTGTGGCTTCGTAGTAGCTAAGTGTGTTTTCTACCTATTGATGCTCTGTTCCATTGGTAGTTCACATCCGCAGGAAAGCCCACATTGAAGCTTCACACTGACTCAGAGGCCGTTAGCCCTGGTAATACTAGAAACCTGCAGCGGGGGGCTCGGGTCTCTCTCCCGGGAATCAAAGAAGAGGGAAGTCCAGTAACAGCTTTGTTGCCCACCATTGAAAGGACAGTTGAGGAACCTGTAAAAGATGTCAGGTGAGCTCCCAGGGGAAGAGTGAAGGCGTCTCCTGAAGAGGAAAAGGAGGAGGGCGTCTGTGGCCGGCGGTCCGGGAGGGGTTCCCAGTTCCAGGCCCGCTGAGGCAGAATGGCGACATGTGAGGCTCACGTCTGTCTACGTCCCTTGGCTGCCTTCGCAGCTCCTGTAGCCGCTTCCCTTTGTGCAGATGATAACCTGGCTCACTGCTGCTTAGCACGGTGAGAGCCAGGGAACCCCAGCTGGCAAGCGACCTAATTCAGTGTTTTTCTGGGAGTGGGTCTTACTCTGCTTCATTTCACTTGCAAGTTTCTAAGAACCCGGGGAACACGTTTGTTGCATTGGGGAAGGTTCTGCTTTCTCGTTCTTCCGACATGCACTCTTAACTGGGAAGGTAGTTTCCTGGAACCCAAATGGTCCTTAGCATACACATTCTATCATGTAAGGAGCTGTCCATTCTCTCCCTGACCAGAAACACAGCTAAGCCTCACAGCACCATGTGAAATCAAACATTCGTACCCAGATGGAAGACTTTGCTCGCAGGGTGAGGGGTTCTTGCTACATCAGGAGTCAGTGCTGTGGGTCTCCCCAGGGGGTGATAAGGACTCTCCTTCTCTAAGGACATTTTAGAAGACACCGTTGTCTCCTTGCTTTAGGCATCACTGCTCTTGGACATCTGAAAATTGTCTTCTCTCAATTCTTTGTTTTTGTTCTTTTAGGACATTTGGGTTCGATTGGGTTTGGGGGTCATACCCACCTCTGCTTAGGGGTCACTCCTGGCAGGACTGACTGGATTTGGTGCCCGGACGGAGCCCAGGTCAGCTGCGGTTCAAGCAAGCACCTGAACTGCTGTGTGTCTCTCTGACCCTGCTTTATTTATTCTTTTGTTCTTCCTTACTGAAGTGTTCTCTTATTTGAATGCCATTCATAAAATAGGCATTCCAATAATAATATTTTCTCATTTTTATTATTTGGGGGAGGGCATTGGGCCCACACCTGGTGTTGTTTGAAAGTCCCTTCCCCTGTGTGTGGGGGACATTACAGTATGAGGATCAAACAGAGGTGGGCCTGGCCATATGCATAGCAAGCACTTTAGTCCTTGTACTCTCTCTCTGGCCTGATGAATGCACTTGAAAGCTTCCTTACAGAAAGGGAAAGTTGTATCAGTGTCGTGACTCCCGCTCTGCAACCACTCTTTCCTATTTAGAGTTTGAGTAATGATAGTTGGTTGCCATTTTTGTAGAACAAGAAATAGGCAAATGCCAGTGCTTTTTAGTAATGTGCTAATTTAGTAGTGAAAAGAAATGTTGTTCTGTTCATGCGTTCACTTGTGCACGTGCTGGCTGACTCTGATGCAGAATCTCAGAGAAGCGGATAGCAGCCTTCCACCAGGACAATGTCTGTACTCGGTCCTGGCCTCACCCTTTGCTGAGGCCACAGTCAACTTCAAAAGAAAAAAAAATAGCGCCGTGAATGGAGGAATGGGAATAACACCTCCTTTTTTGGAGTTGAAGTGACTGTGTGGAGCAAGGTCCTGACCCAGAGAGAATACTCAGTAGCTGTTCTTCTGTGGGCCCCTCCCGCTCACACTCATCCCCGCCTTGGAACCTTCCAGTTGACCCAGAGGGGTCAGTGTGCAGGAGGAGAGTGTTGACTTGAACCATCAGGCTCTGATGTTCCCTGGGGCCGTTCACCAGAGCATGGCTGAACAGGAAGAGGCATGTTCTGACCCCACCTCCTGGAAGGACCCAGCCAGAGGGCTGGAGCTGGTTCCAGTGGGTGGGGGTTTGCCCTGGTCTCTGCAGCCAGCAGCTGGTCCCGTGTCTTCACGTCGCTGGAGTTTGGATGGCCTGGGTGTGTCAGGAACCTCACAGCCCCAAAGCGGGAGGTTTTGATTTCCCTGTGATGGACACTAAACGCCTTTTGGTGTTTCCAAATTTGTTCACCCAAGCCTCACTGGGAGAAGCCCTCCAAGGGCTCTCTCTAGCACTGGCCGACATCGTTTATTAGGAATAGAGCTGACCTTGGGTTGAGGAGGAGCTGGAGTAAACAGGGATCTGCTGTATCAGTAAATGGATTGAAACTGGAATATGGGTGTGGGTGGGGCTTTTGTTTTGTTTTATTTCGTTTTTTATGTTCCTCCTTTGTACTGACACCTTTAATAGTTTCCTAAGGTCACTTGTCCTTGTTCCTTTTCTACCTACCGCATTTTAGAGATACCTCTAAAATGTCAGAATGTTCGTGGGGTTTGCTTTTTTTTAAAATCTTAGAACTTTGAGAAAGCAGGTTACCTACTTTGTGCCACCTTAGCTTACTTTTCTCTGTGGCCCACATAAGTGGAATTACAGTATCACACAGTTGAGGATGCCTGTGGCCATGAAACAGAATCCATCCATCATCCTAGATACAGCTGAAAATAGCATGGGAGAGTGTAAGAAAAGTGCAAGGCAGAGGCCTCATTGTCCAGAGAGCCTGAGGCCCCCAACTCAGAATGACCAGCACTTCCAGCTTCCTAAATTCCTGGGCAACTCAGGCCCCACGGGGTATCTTTTAGAAGAAGAATGGTTAAAGGGCTTTCTTAAGGACAAACCGTGTTCTCTCATTTTCCTCCGATTCCTCTACTGTCCTTTAAGTCCTTCCTGCTGCTTTCACCCTTCAAGTGTCATCTGCCGATGAGTCGCACGTGTCCTTGGACGTATCTAATTGAATTCTGCTCTCTTTTTCCTACAGGACAGAGTATGTGTGTACCTGTCCACTGGGATTTTCCTAGTGTGTCTGTCCCCCCCACCAGAGCAGGGCCGGGGTGTGATTGTAGCTGCCGCTGACCACCTGGTGCCGGTTCTCTAGAAGAGACTCTTAGCATAGTTTCTGAATCAGTAACTCGTCCAAGGTTTATAGCAGGAAGATAATAAAGCCAGAAGTCAAGGTTTCTTTTTGTTCTCCTGAAGTTTCCTCTCTTTGTAAGTTTGATCAAATTTTTCACTTGGTATGTGATCCTTTTGCCCAAAATTCAGCAGCCTGAGCCATCATCTGTTCCGGGCCCCGCTGGCGAGATGTCTCTGTGCTGGGACTAGTCTCAACTCTTCTGCTTTTTGTCTATTTGGCTGCTTTTGTGTTGCTACTGGCGACCGCGGTGGTTATAGAAATTTGCAGACATTTTTGCAGCATTGTATGTCTGAGTGCCACTCAAATGAAACTGATTTTCCATTGCCTGTTCTTCCTGTAAATCCCAATGAATAGCTTGTGGCAATTTGAAGTGGAATAATAGGTAGTAATTGCTCTTTCTCATAAACATTGTCTTCGTAAGATTCAGCTGTAGTCCTACCTTTCCACACTCACGGTCAAAGTCGGCCAGCATTTGTGCCGCTTGGCTGATGTTTGGTGTTATTAAAACAATGTCATCAGCAAAGCGGAGGTGGTGTAGTTGCCGACCATCTATCTTCACTCCCATTCCTTCCCATTCCAGTCGTCGCATGATGTTCTCGAGGGTGGCACTGAAGAGTTTTGGTGAAATGGTATCACCCTGCCGCACCCCTCTCTTGACATCAACGATCACTTCTTTGTAGAATGGTGAGATCCTGGTAGTGAATCCGCAATACAGCTCACGGAGGATCCTGATGTATTGGGCTTGAATGCCCTGATTGGCTAGGGCTTCAATGACCGCTTCCGTCTCAACAGAATCAAAGGCCTTCTTTAAATCAATGAACGTTAAGCAGAGCGGCATCTTGAACTCCCGAGAAACCTCAATGAGTTTGGTTATCGTGTGGATATGGTCGATGGTGCTGAATCCTTTGCGGAACCCTGCTTGCTCACATGGTTGTCCTTCATCTAGTGTTCTGCCAATCCTATTCAGGATGACTCGAGTGAACAACTTGTAGATGACAGACAATAGGCAGATCGGGCGATAGTTGCCAATGTCATGGATGTCTCCCTTCTTGAACAGTAGTACGGTCCTGCTGGTTTTCCATTGAGATGGAACCTTGCATTCAGACAGGTAGCGAGTGAAGAGCCGAGCCAGTGTATTGATGAGTACTGACGGCAGGTTCTTCAGGTGTTCAGGTCTGACCTTGTCTGGGCCGGGTGCTGTTTGCTTCTTTACTGACGAAATGGCGTGTCGGATTTCGGAAGGGAGAACGTTGGGAACGACATACCCATCCTGTGGAATTTGGTATGTCGGCAAGTGGACATGGCTATCGAAGAGATTTGAGTAGAAGTCATGGATAATCTTCTCCATTGCCGTTCTGGAGGATGTGATGGATCCATCAGGACGTCGGAGGGCAGTCATCTTGGTCTTATAGTTGGCGAAGGACAGGCGGGCGTTACGAATACTTTTCCCGGCTTCTGCCGCATCTACCAGTACTTCTGCTCTTCTCTCTTTGAGGTCTTCCTTGATCGCATCTCTGCACTGCTTTGCAAGCTCGGACGTTAGCTTGCGGTTGCCTGAGGCATGCGCCAAACCACGCTGGCGAATTAGCTCAAGAGTTTTCGAAGATAGGCGACTTTTTGTGGCTATCTCTCTCTTGGCGTTCCTCGCACATTCATGGAGGTGCTGAACCAGTCGATCGTATTCCTCGTCAATGTTGTCAACAATGGCATCTTCCCATGTTGCCGCAATAGTACCAAAGAGTTCCCAGTTGGTGGTCGTTCTGGGAGTTCTCTTTTTGAACTTTGCAGCCCTTTCTCCCCGCTCTGTGAAGTAGAATTTTGCACGAAGGAGACGGTGGTCCGATCCCGTTCGAAATTTTGGGACAACAGCGACATCAGTCAGGCAAAACCGTCGATTGAATATGATATGGTCTATTTCGTTGTGGAATCGTCCACCGGGAGACTCCCATGTCCATCGTTTAGATTCTGCCTTCTGGAACTGTGAGTTACCATGAATGGTCTTGGTCGACATGATGAACTCAGACAGTCTCTCACCCTGTTCGTTCCATTCTAGGCCATGGGTTCCGATGTGAAGTTCTTCAGCTGATCTTCTCGGTCCTATCTTGGCATTAAAATCACCCACAATGATCTTGTAGAAGGTGTGGTCTTCTTTATAGAACTTCTCTAGCTCCATGTAGAACTTCTCGATTTCTCTTTCATCATAATGAGATGTTGGTGCGTAGACAACGAAGATAGAAACTGCAGGCAGTGAGCCACATCTATTCAAATGTAAACGTCCGATTCGGGTTGTTAGGCATTCAAATGAATCAATGCTCTTGGCCAAGTTTGTGTTGACAAGGACACCGACGCCTCCAACACCTCTTTTATCGCATGTTCCGAGGAACAATTCTTCTCCAGTGTCGAAAACGGCATGGTGAGATTCGTGTCTTCTTGTCTCGGTCAGACCAATGATGTCGTACTTGATCATTCGCGCTTGTACCATCAGGTCCTCGATGGATGCATCTGATGCTAGCGTACGTGCATTGAAAGTACAGACGATCATTTTTGTCTTCCTTCGTTGTGGCAGCCTAGGTCGGCCTTGAGATTTTGTCGGCCTCTCCTTTCTCATCCTTCTCAGTGCTGCCATGTCGGTGAAGCCTTCAGGGTCAGGTGAATGAGACCAGTTGTAGTTACTGGTTTTGGCATATCGAATACACAGCGGATAGCTTGCCAGGCTCTTCCGTGCGGGCGGAATACTCTCGGTAGCTTGCCAGTCTTTCCGAGAGGTATAGAGGCTTTTGGGGCGACCTCTAATCACCCTTGTAGGTGTTACCATATTTGAACCCTATCAAATATGGTACGACAATTCCAGAAGACAGGTATTTAGTGTCTTATGATGTGTCGCGCGGCCGCTTGCGGCCGCGCGAGTCCGGAAAGCGTCCTGGAGTGTGGCGACGGCTGGGTAGTGGAAGTAGTGTCGAGAGTGGAAGTCTGCCAGTGGGGTATTTTATCTGGGTAGGGTGGGTCTCCTGTGCACAATTCGATCCCTGGGTGGTTGATGGAAGCAGACAGGGCAGGGTAGGGTGGGGCTCCTGATTAGAATCCCTTTGTCACCTGTGGTGGTGGGAGCAAGCAGAGAAGCTCTGTCCCTGGGTCCGCCGGGCCTGGAGTCCAAGGTCTCAGAGAGTTCCGCTTACCTTGTTCTGTGGGTCTTCAGTTGTGCGTGGGTCTCGGCCGGAGCTGCCGCGCGAGTCCGGAAAGCGTCCTGGAGTGTGGCGACGGCTGGGTAGTGGAAGTAGTGTCGAGAGTGGAAGTCTGCCAGTGGGGTATTTATCTGGGTAGGGTGGGTCTCCTGTGCACAATTCGATCCCTGGGTGGTTGATGGAAGCAGACAGGGCAGGGTAGGGTGGGGCTCCTGATTAGAATCCCTTTGTCACCTGTGGTGGTGGGAGCAAGCAGAGAAGCTCTGTCCCTGGGTCCGCCGAGCCTGGAGTCCAAGGTATCAGAGAGTTCCGCTTACCTTGTTCTGTGGGTCTTCAGTTGTGCGTGGGTCTCGGCCGGAGCTGCCGCACGAGTCCGGAAAGCGTCCTGGAGTGTGGCGACGGCTGGGTAGTGGAAGACAATGTTTATGAGAAACAGCCTTGTTCCTGACGCCCCATTCGCTCTCAATGGAACGACCATCTCCGAATGCAACAGCTATGTGTACCTAGGTCGAGAGGTCAACATGACAAATGACCTGGCACCCGAGCTGCGCAGGAGGAAGAGAGCGGCTTGGAACGCCTTCAAGAACGTCGAAGAAATAGCTAAGAGGACGAAGAACCTCCGGCTCCGGGCACATCTCTTTGATTCCACTGTTCTTCCTGCATTAACATATGCCTCAGAGACCTGGGCCCTACGCAAACAAGATGAGAACGCCATTCAGGTCTCCCAAAGAAGAATAGAAAGAGCTATGCTTGGAATATCACGTTTCACTCAAATGAGAGAACGAATCCGGAGTTCTGACATCCGTCGACGATCAAGGATCAGGGACGCTGTCTCATTTGCCAAGGTGTCTAAAATCAGATGGGCTGGTCACGTAATGAGATTTAAAGACGACCGTTGGACTAGAGCTGTTACTGATTGGATTCCACGGGATGTCAAGAGACCACGTGGCCGCCCACCTACCAGATGGTCAGACTTCTTTGTCAAGGTCATGAACGATCGGTTTGAGGCCCTCCATGTTCCTGGAGCGAAAAGATGCCATTGGGCTACACTAGCACGCGACAGGGACAAATGGAGACGTTACTGGCGCCCGCTCGAGCAAATCGACGACTAACGGGAAGTTAAGTGATTAAGTGAATTGCTCTTTATGTAACTAAGGCTGATAATCTTTTTTTTTTTTTTTCACTTTATGGCAATTATTGTGTGTTTCAGATCAGGAATGTTGGAGTCTGGCATTGACCGAATTATCTCTCAGGTGGTGGACCCAAAGATCAACCACACCTTCCGGCCTCAGGTGGAGAAGGCCGTGCACGAGTTCTTGGCCACACTGAATCACAAGGAGGAAGCCAGCGGCAGCGCTGCTCCCGAGGAGGAGAAGGCCGAGAGCGTGGTCGTTCCCCAAGGTGCTTTGCTGGGACTCCCTCTCTCAGGCCGGGTGCTCTCCTTTTTTTTTTTCTTTTTTGGCTTTTTTTTTTTTTTTTTTTGGCTTTTTGGGTCACACCCAGCAATGCTCGAGGGTTACTCCTGGCTCTATACTCAGGAATTACTCCTGGTGGTGCTTGGGGGACTGTATGGGATGCTGGGAATTGAACCCGGGTTGGCCGTGTGCAAGGCAAACACCCTCCCCGCTGTGCTATCTCTCCAGTCCCCTTTGTCCCCTTCTTGAACTGAACGTCAGAACTGTCAAGGGTACATGCTTCCCTAGGGAGTACAGTTAGAATATGTTCTGGCTAGAACAGACGAGTCTCAGGAGTGTGTGGTGCCATTTCAGAGATCCTGTGTTAGAGAAGTAGAAACTGGAATGGCCTAGGGTGGAAGTCTTGAGAACCATGAATGAGCTGCCCGGCGTGTGCGCCTGATGAGGTTGAGAGCCTTTTGACTTTGATTTGACTGAGGAATTTGCCTTCTGTGTAAATTCATTCTCAAATTTTCCCTGGCAGGTGTTCCCACCCCAGGGCCCAGTGCGACTGTGGCCAGTGATGCTATGTCCATCCTGGAGACCATCACTTCTCTGAACCAGGAGGCCAGCGCGGCCAGGGCCTCCACAGAGGCCTCTAATGTCAAGAGTAGCGAGAGAGTCTCCAAAAAGCTCCCGTCTCAGCCAAGCATGGAGAGCAATACAGATCGAGAAAGAACCGCAGACGACGTGGCTGACAGAGAAAAGTCTACACCCGACTCTGTCGGGGAAGGCCACGAAGCAGCCCCGAAGATGGAAGAGCTGAATGATCTCCCCACTGAGGAAACGAAAAATCACATGAAAGAGAGTAATTTGTCAGTGCCGCTGAATAAGGATGTCCCACAGGAAAGCAGTGACCAAAAAAGTAAGTCAGCAGACAAGGGTGACAAGAAACTAGACAGTGGTGAAAAAGAAAGAAAGAAAGAAAAGAAGGAAAAGACAGAGAAGAAATTTGAGCACTCAAAAAGAAGTGAAGATGTCCAAAAAGTAAAAGATGAGAAACAAGCAAAGGAGAAGGAAGTAGAGTTGTCACGACTTCCTTCGGAAAAGAACAGCAATAAATCGAAAACGGCTGAAGGGAGTAAAGAAGGTATGTTAAAAATATATTCATTGGAAGTAAGAAGGAGAGGCATTCAAATTTGCCTTCGAATTGTAATAAACTTGAAACGTGTATCAAAAGTCTGGAAACTCCTTCTCCCATTGCTGAGCAATGAGGAGTAAGGATTTTGTATTTTTCTATACTTAGGTACAGAAACGTAGAAGATAGAGGAGTTACAGACCTTTAATATTGATTTGTTCACATGCTTGATAATGAGTAATTTGATAATATAGTTCTGTGTCCTGATATATTTGTGAGATTTTCAATTACTTACAATTTGCTTTGGTTTATTTTATGTATATCATAATAGCATAAGGATTTTTGCAGGATGCTAGGTTACCATTGTGTTTTCTGGAAACAGCTTACCTTACATATGATTCTGGTTGCTAACGATGAGGAATCTGCTAATGTTGATATTCTTTGACGTGTTTCAAGCAGAGACTCTTAAACATGGTTTAGGAGTTGAGAGCTGAGCATTGCTCATAACAAAGTGACCCGTTTGTGTGTTTGCATCATCCAGATTGTTCTCTGATAGACTCTGATGTGGATGGACTTACAGACATCACTGTTAGCTCAGTGCATACCAGCGACCTTTCGTCTTTCGAAGAAGATTCTGAGGAGGAAGTAGTACTATCTGATAGTATGGAAGAAGGCGAAATCACGTCCGATGGTAAAGTGTTTTTTTCAGTCATGCTTCTGTGAAGCTTCCTGTCGTGCATTCATTGTATTCAGTGGCTCCATCGAGAAAGTGTGATAGAATGTGGTGGCAGGAAGTGGGACTTTGCGATTAGGAGGTTTTTTTACCCAGCCCTAGTTCCCAGGCTGTCTGTCTGAACAGGCCCAGTAAGTTATAAATTTTAACTCAGCCCCTAAGATTATGAACTTTAGCTCAGAGGGCACATGTGAAGATACTGAGGAAAGGAGGGGGTGTTGGTTGTATGAGGTGACATTTGTGGGCGTACAGTCCACCAGAATGCCCCATTTTTGACACCAGTGGCAGGTAAAAGGTAAAAGGTAAAGGCCCTCCCGTTGATCGTCAATTTGCTTGAGCGGGCCCAGTAACGTCTCCATTGGCGACTTTGTTGTTACTGTGTCTGGCATATCGAATACTCTCGGTAGCTTGCCGGGCTCTCCGAGAGGGGCGGAGGTAAGGACTCTTAATATCACACTCTGGTTTGACAGTTCGCTAGAACTCATGGAACTTACCGAATGCTGTTTTATAAACCCACGGTTGCAATCTACTTTCAGGAAAGGACAACTGCAAATCAGCCAGGGGAGAGGCACATAGTGAGGCGTCCAGGAGAGTTCCAGACAGAAGAGCCACTTGTCCTTTTCCTGGAGAGTGGAGGGATTTACTTTACATTATTTCCTGCCATTTATGTCTGTCTCCAAACGGATTGACCTTAATGTTCAAAGTTTCCAGGGGTGCTCCTTTTCGCAAACCTGGTTTTCACAAAGCCCACATGCTCCTTCTCAATTTCCAGTCCCTCTGAAAGTCAGCTTGATGCCCCGTGACCTCAAGCCCTGTCCCCTCTCTACATTGTTAGAAGACTTGACATGACCTCGATGCCCCAAGCAAGCCAAAACTACTCTCATAGGTGTCATATAGGTGTGACATTCTGATGACTTAAGGGTTACATTTCAGAACTCGCCTCTTTTAATTATCAAATTTTTCTCTTAGCCTTGGCTAAGCACTTTTTGTGAGTTTCAAATGTTGGATCAAGTAAGACAGTCTATTCTGTGTCTTAATTCCTATAATCTGCACAACTGCCCTGGTGAAGGAAGAAAGGGGAAATGTCCAGTTTCACGCAGCTACTGAGCACTAGTGCTGTCCTGCGTCTGGGCTGAAGCCAGTCTCTTGTTTTGCCTTGTACCACGTGATTCAGTTTTACTAAGACCTATCACTATCACCCCGTTGTTCATCGATTTGCTTGAGTGGGCACCAGTAGCATCTCCATTTGTCCCTGTCACGTGCTACTGTAGCCTGATGGCATATTGGGGGCTCTGTCAGGGTCAGAGAATGAGGACCCTCATTGTTACTGTTTTTGGCATATCGAGTATGCCACGGGTAGCTTGCCAGGCTCTTGTCATGCGAGCGGGATACTCTCAGTAGCTTGCCGGGCTCTCCGAGAGGGATGGAGGCTTTTGGGGCAGCCTCTAATCACCTTTATAGGTGTTCCCAGTCAGACCATTACTAAGACCATTTTTTAAAAATCTAAAAGCTTTAAATTATTTGCAGTTACAGTGGATAGCATCTTGTAAATTTGCTGCTGACTTTCTATCCAGAGAGAAAATCACAGAAAAGAAAATAGCAAAAGCCCCAGCTATATTCCTCCGTGTCTCCCATTTTCCAAGCTTACTGTCTATGAAAGAATTTTTTACATTTTTTTTTACAATTTATGAAAATTATCTACTCCGAAGAGTATCAGCAGCAGCCTCTTTCTTCTTCATGCCCATTTTTGTGAGATCAACTCTTTGTCCTGTTCACACTCTCCCTCTTCAACCCCATGAAAATGTTGGTCCAGCTGCCTTTGAAGGGGTTGAAAGAAAGACCTGTAGGTCTTCCTGCACAGATCTAGATTTCCTGTTTGTGGAATCCTTTTGGAAGACCTATAAGAGCACATGAGTGTGGGTAGCCAGAAGGGTCTGAGAAGGCCAGTAGAAGCTTGCTTTGCAAGATTTTCTTCATGATTTTTATAGGGCAAGAAAAAATATACTTTCCTTCAGAGCGTGTTTCTTGTCAGTTATTGATTCCTGCCTTTCTTCCAGATGAGTTTTGGGGCTTTAGCTCAGTGGTAAATGTTTTACCTGGCATTGCATGAGGTTGAATGAGGCCCCAAGTTCTTTCCTGGCACTGCCAAAAAAAATTTTTTTTAATTCTCAAATGGACTTGAAAATACAGCTTCAAATGAATTTGCTCAGTTTGACATTGGCAACTGCAAAGAAAGAAAGTGTGAAGAAAATTAGGAAGATACAGATTATAGCCTTTAAAACTGTTAGTCTCTGGGTTTTCATGAACTAGTGTTTTCTCTGCTGGACCTAGAAGTACACTTGAGCTGCGCTGTGCCACTTGGCTCCTTGCTGTTGCCTTGAGTTTACTCCTGCTGTGACTGTTGATTCGCTGAAACGCTTCTTTTTTATGGCTTCCTTTCAGATGAAGAGAAGAGCAAGCAGAGTAAGGCCAAAACGCAGACCAGCGACCCTGGGGAGGGGAAGGCGAAAAGTGTGCGGCAGGCCTATGTTCACAAACCCTACCTGTACTCCAAGTACTACAGCGACTCTGACGACGAGCTCACCGTGGAACAGCGGCGGCAGTCGATCGTGAGTCACGCGCCACTTGTTTCTGTTTTAACCTGTTGAGTCAGGTAGAGAAATGGATGAGTCTTCCGGGTCCTGGTGAGCATACGAAATGGCTACACAAGAGGGTGCCTTAGGGACTGTCATATCGGCAGAATACACATGAACATGTGATGGGCACATGTTTGGCCATGTGTTGGAGAGATGAAAAGCTGGTCAAGGGGCTGGAAAGATAGTCCAATGGGGAAGCTGTTTGCCTTGCACGTGGCTGACCCAGGTTCGATCCCCGGCATCCCATAGGGTGTCCCGACACTGCCAGGAGTAACACCCCTGAGCATTACCAGAAAACAATAAAATAAAAAGAAAAGCTGGTCAAAAGGGTAAGCTGGGTGTGTGTTTGATTTTCACTTTAACTCCTGGCTCTGTGCTCAGGGTTTACTCTCCCAGCGGAGTTAAGAGGGCCATTTTTGGTGCCAGGGATCAAACCCAGATCAACCACATGTGAGGTGGGTGCCCTATCGGGACTATCGCTTTGGCCCACAGATTAAGGATAGAAACGTTCGATCAAATGTGGATCGAGCCCTGCAAATGCTGTGCACAGCCAGTAGCGTGCTACGAAGAAACTGAACAGTGGGCAGAGCCCCAGAAGGTGGTCTCAAGGGCTGAAGCTCATGCTGAGCATGCTTGAGCCCCAGACTCAGTCCCTGATGCTTCAGGATTCCCTGAGCACTACACAGTGTGACAGAAGAACGGGCCTCAGGGAAAAGGCTCAAAGAGTTGGAGCGTGTGTCCTGCGATCGTTGACCCTGGGTTCAGTTCCGACCACTGTGTGTCACACCTGCTCTGACAGTTAGGCCCTGGTGGTCCCTGAAGAGCTGCCCTGAGCAGTACCACATTGCCAGGCCCACCAGGACTCACCACAAGCCCCTGAGCATGACCTCAGAGAGCGCCCCCCCACATCCCGTGGAAAAGACACAGAGATTATGGACACCTGCTTGCGTACACTTGATGCACATGTAGTTTGACGGTTCTCCCCTTGAAGTAACTGCTTCCTTAAGCCACCGTTTTCCGAAATGATACCTTTCTCATTCTTTAAATTAATGTGCTCTGGCTGAAAGAGTAATGGAAAATTTTCACACCTGCTGCTTTTTGTTCTCCTAGTGTCCCGTAATTTGCATTTTGCAGAGTTCATTAATTTGTAAGGACAGTTGAAGGGCAGTTTTTGTTCCTTGTTAATTTTGCCTGATACTGTTGCAGGATAATTATGAATATCTTATGGGTTTAGGCTAAAGAAAAAGAAGAGAGACTTTTAAGGAGGCAAATTAACAGAGAGAAACTTGAAGAAAAACGAAAACAGAAAGCAGAAAAAACAAAGTCTTCAAAAGCTAAGAGCCAAGGTATAGTGATAGTAATTTTTTAAGATTTTAGACTGTTATACAGAACATTATTTCTTAGATGTCTGATTATTTATGAGGTGTAATTATAAAATTGTGTCCCAGATTATATCTTATAATGCTTTGATTTTTTTGTTATTTATCTTCAGTATAGATTAAATTTTTAATCTGTTTAACCACTTTAAAATTTTTTTATTATATTCTGTCTAAATCAAACTTTATATCAGGTCTGCCAGCTTATGCACAGGACACCTGGTGGCGACTTATTTTCCAGTGACTGAATGAGTGATCAGTCTGGACAGTGAATTGTTAGCCATTGAGTAATCAAGCCCTACTAGTTAGCGATATTAATGAAATTAATTTATAGTTTGTTAAATTAAATGTCAAGCATTTATCTCTAATATTTTGTTGAATAAAACTGAACTTTCTTTAGAGACTAATCTTATATAATTAAAAAATACAGAAACATGAGCATTTGAAATATAAAAAGTTAGACATCTTCATCTAAACTATTGTTTAGGGGCTGGAGAAAGAGCCAAATAAACAGGTTCAGTCTCAGGCCGTGCATCGCTACTGAGCTTGACCAGGAGCAACCATCTAAGCACTGAGCTGGGAGTATCCCCTCAGCACTAACAGGTTTGTCCCCAGACCTGCACACGTACTTTTATTTTTAATTCCAGCATAGCATAGAAAGTATTATTTGCATTATACAGGTAGTAAAAAATCCTAATGAAAACTGTCATACTTTATAAAACTTTTCTTTTAAAATACAATTTAAGTTACAGTTTTTTGATGACTTATTTTTACAGGCAAAAGTAATGTAGACTTAGAAGAATCATCCAAGAATTTGGAACCTAAAGCCCCTGGAATAAAAGAAGTTCTTAAAGAGCGGAAAGTTTTGGAAAAAAAGGTAGCCTTGAGCAAGAAAAGGAAAAAAGATTCAAGGTATAAGTAGTATCTGTCCGTGTGTCCTCATTCCCCTCATTCACACTGTAGCATTCTCCAGCTCACTTTTAGAAGCTGGCTTTGAAATTGGCAGTAAAGAGTTCTACCACGAGTGCGTATCTTACTGAATATTTGTCACTGAGCTTAGATGTTGTTTCACGGCATTAAAATATAAAATTTATAATATTTTTTTAAGGAGTGAATTTTTTTTTTAGGCTTTTTGATATGATACAAGTTTTGAACTTTTTAGGAAAATTCTTTTGCGTAGGTACTATCTAGTCTCTTGAGTTTCAGAATTTATGGGTTTCTGGAAATATTCAGAAAGTATTGTCTGGTTTGAGTAGCCATTAACTGCTTATATACCTTCCTATACTCACTCAAGTCAACTCTGTGAAAATCAGAAAGTTGGTAAGACTCAGAATGGCTGTGAAGGGGCTGGAGCAATAGTATGGTGGGGAGGACGTTTGCCTAGCACACAGCCCACCTGGCTTCGATCCCTGGCATCCCATATGGTCTGTCCATCCGTCCATTGTCCTCGTTCTCCCACCCTCCATCCCCTCCACACACCCCGAACACTGCCAGGAGTAATACCTGAGCATCAGCGGGTGTGACCCAAACAAACAAACAAACAAACAAAAGAATGGCTATGAAGTTACAGGAGCCATGGCAGTGTTTTACCGTTACCTCAGGACACAGTCAAATAAATTTACAGTGTTTAAGGTAACTGGATCAATAGTTTACAGAACTCAGTGGGGACAGTCAGCTCAATTTCCTTTGACCTTATTCTATTTAATCGGAATAATTATTACCTGGAGTGATAGCACAGCGGGTAAGGCGTTTGCCTTGCAAGCGGCCAACATGGCCGACCCTAGTTCGATTCCTCCGCCCCTCTCGGAGAGCCCGGCAAGCTACCGAGAGTATCTCGCCCGCACGGCAGAGCCTGGAAAGCTCCCCGTGACATATTTGATATGCCAAACACAGTAACAACTAAGTCTCAAAAAGTGGAGACGTTACTGGGCCCGCTCGAGAAAATCGATGAACAATGGGAGGACAGTGACAGTGACCTGCTTACTCAAAGATGGTTAAAAAAAAATCAGAATATAGTTGAAGCCCATAAAATACTCATCTTGGAACAGCAAATTAGGATTACTATTTCCTTTGGCCCCAAGAATAGCATGTTAAATTTTGTATTGTGTTCTCTGTTGACCACAGAGATTTCTGCTAAAATGTCATGATTGTCCATTTATGGATCAAGTGTCCATAGAAGCAAAAAGCTAAACTATTATGTTAACTTTAATGAAAAAAACCTAAAATCTAATTCAGAGTTCATGTTTGCCTTTTTCCTCCACTTAGGAATGTTGAAGAGAATTCGAAAAAGAAACAGCAATCTGAAGAGGACTCCAAAGAAACACTCAAAACCACTGAGGTGTGTCTTAATAACATCCCCACACTTCCCCCTTTGGGCAGGCGGATTGAAAAGCTTCATACTCAGTGGCTGCTCCCAGTTCTGTGCTCAGGAATCACTCCTGCTTAGGAGACCAGGTGGTACCAGGAATTGAACCCAGGACTGTCTCGTGCATACGTTCTACTTCTGTGGTGTCTCCGTGGCCCAATAAAAACCCATTTTAACTGTTCTTTTGTGGAGTAAAACAACATTTTCAAATGAGCAATTAAAGCTGATGTTATTAATTTTATTTTGCACGTTGCTTTCATTTTACTGAATCACCATGAATTAGAAAGTCATTCATGATTGCGTTTCAGGCATGTAGTGTTCCAGGACTGATCCTTTGACCAGTGTCCACTTCCCTCTACCTATGTCTGCAGTTTTCTCTCCCGCCCTCCTCTTGCCTCTACACCGTGGTCATTTATCTTTTTCCTTTACTTTTTAAATTTCCTTCTAGGCACTGTGGTTTATAATATGGTTACCAGTAGGGCATTAGGCATATCACCTTACCTTCTTTCTATACCCAGTCCTCATCCAGAGTGACTTTTCCCCCCATCACTTTTAAAGTGGTCCCTTCCCTGACCTGTCCCCTCTTCAGAGCATCCCCAGCCCGCCACCACTTACGGCAAGGTCTTACAAAGGAACAGTTCTACTTTTTATTGCTGTTGCCTTTGAACAACAGTTACTCACCCATGTTTCTTTATATTCCTACATCTGAGTGAGACCATTCTGTGTCTGTCCCTTTCCCTCTTGGCTTCCTTTACTGAGCATGACCGCTCTCCAGATCTGTCCATGTAAGCATGTCTCATCTTTTTTTACAACTGACTAGTATTCCATTGTATACCATAGCTTCTTTATCCAGCCATCTGTTCTTGGGTTGTTTCCAGATTTGGGCTATTAATGAGCAGTGTTACAATGAAGACAGGAGTGCAGAGGTCTTTTTAGCGTTTTCTTTTGCCGAGGGGGTGGGACTGGGGGGTGGCTTGGGGTGTATCCTGCCCAGAAGTGGAATTGCTTGGTCATATGGAAGCTCAATTTCTAGTTTTAGTAGCAGTGTCCATATTATTTTTCCGAAAGGGCTGACCATTCAACATTCCCAGCAGCATTGAGTGAGGATCTCTTGATTTCTTTATCCAGATTGGAGGCATAGCTATAATAGATCCTGGTATTTTAATTCATATTTTTTAAATATCTGGCTTTATTTTTATGATAAATGTGAGAAAATAATCTCGTAAAATTGTTATGTTCATTGGTTCAAGTTTACTGTAAAACTCAGTGAAATCCCTGTTCTTTGAGGACTTTTAACTTAAAAGTATTGTTGGAAGATACTGCTATGCTATCATATCTATATTGGAGAAGTACCTTCCTCTGTAACATTGTAAGGAGTGCAGCAGTTAGCCAGTTTGGGCACAGTCTTTTTCAGCCCAGTATGTTTCTTTAGTATTTGCTCAGTCACTGCTATTTTGTGGTAGAGGGAGGCAGGTGGAGATACTTTGAATATTAGAATTTTCACTTGGCCACATAGACATGTACATACACTTTATCGAATCATTATTGTCAGTTTTATTGACCTTAAAACTGTCTGAGATTTGGGGACTGGAGTGATAGCACAGCGGGTAGGGCATTTGCCTTGCATGCTGCTGACCTGGGTTTGATTCCCAGCATCCCATATGGTCCCCTGAGCACTGCCAGGTGTAATTCCTGAGAACCAGGCATAACCCCTGTGCGTCGCCAGGTGTGACCCAAAAAGCCAAAAAGAAAAAAAACTGTCTGAGATTTAAATGTGTGAGATTTACATAAATAAGTATCTTCTTGGACTGTCATTCATACAGCTTTAATTTGTTAATAACAGTGGGCAGTAGAAGACTTGAGTGAGTTAAAGAAGGCATCCTGAATGCCTGGGCACAGCTCACAAGTAATTATCCCTCGATATAAAAATGCCTTAATTTGGAGATAGGGAGAGTACCGGGTTTAAAATGAGCTCAACCTAAACCTTGGCATTGGGTTATTGAATATAGAAATAATTTGATCAAACTGAGCTTCAGTTTCCTGAGGTTTAAAATACAGTTAGTACTTCTGATTGGCTGCCTTCAAGGATTAAAAAAGTTTGACATATAAGAGCATAAATTGTAAACAAAATAGGTACATCAAAATGTTAAATTTGAATATGAAAATTAATGTGTTTCTCTTATTTTCAGCATTGTGAAAAGGAAAAGATGTCTTCAAAGGAATTGAAGCATGTCTATGCAAAAACTGAGCCAAGTAAACCTGCCCGGAGACTTTCAGAGTCTTTACATTCAGCTGATGAAAACAAAAATGAAAGAGAACATAAGAGACGAACATCTACCCCAGTCCTGGTAGAAGCAGCACAAGAAGAGACTGACCCTAGAGATGGGAAAAAGCAAGTGGAATGCTCAGAAATTAGCCAGGAAGAAACCCAGAAACAGAGAAGCACTTTTAAAAATGAAAAGCATCTGAAGAAAGATGATTCTGAAACACCACATTTGAAGAGCCTACCTAGAAAAGAGGCAAAATCCTCTTCTAAGGAAAAGTCTGAAAAGGAGAAAAGTGTGTCAGAGGACAAACCACCTGTGAAGCATAAATACAAAGGGGATAGTGTGAACAAAACAGGGGATGAGACTGAGCCTCATGCCTCTGAGAAAGGCCTCAAAGTGGACGAGAGTGTTCAGAAGCAAAGTCAGCCAACAAAGCTTTCTTCAGACGATAAAGCTGAACGAAAAAGTAAACACAGGAATGAAAGGAAATTGTCAGTTTTAGGCAAAGATGGAAAGCCCGTTTCTGAGTATCTCATAAAGACAGACGAGAATGTTCGTAAAGAAAACAAAAAAGAGAGGCACATGTCAACCGAAAAAACTAAGACAGAACATAAATCAAGAAGACTGAGTGATTCTAAAATTCAGAAGGACTCACTGAGTTCCAGACAACATGGTGTCCCATTACAGAGAAGAAGTGAGAGTTATTCAGAGGATAAGTGTGAAACTGACTTGACTAGTTTAGGTAGTAATGTGAAACCAGAGGAGGCCATTCACAAGGAGAAACGAAGAACAAAGAGCTTGGTCGAAGAGAAACTCACGTTCAAGTCCAAATCCAAAAGTCAAGGCAAATTGTTAAAAGTAGTTGAAACAGAATTACAAGAAAGTGTCTCCAGACAGGCAACCACCTCAAAACTAGACAAGGAGAAGAGCACAGAGGAAAGTGACCCAGACAGACAGTGGAAGTCTAAAGTGGAGGATAAACCTGAGGAGACTGGTACTGAACCCATGTTAGAGAGTTCTGCCTCTTCAGCTCATGGTACCCAAAAGGATACTAGTCATCGTGCCAAGCTACCATTGGCAAAGGAGAAGTACAAGGGAGAGAAGGACTCCAGCTCTTCCCGCCCGGAGAGAAGGTTATCTGATGGACACAAAAGCAGAAGCCTAAAACATAGTAGCAAAGATGTGAGAAAGAAGGAAGAAAATAAGTTAGATGACCGGGATGGTAAAGAGGTTGATGGTAATCATGAGAAGGCGAGAGGGAATAGTTCAGTCGCGGAAAAGAAATCAAGTAGAAGGTTATGTGAAAATCGAAGAGGAAGTTTATCCCAGGAAATTGCCAAAGGAGAAGAGAAACTATCAGTGAACACACTGAACACGTCCTCTCTTCATAGACCGAAGAAAAGTGGTGAGACCACATTGATCCCTGAGCAAGAGCCAATGGAAACTGATACTGAGCTGGCCACTGAAAATTTATGTGAAGTGTCTAAAACTCAAGACAACAGCAGTAATGCTTCTCAGCAAGACATCGACTCTGAAAATGTCACAAAACAAAAAGCAGCTGCCACAGTTCCAAAGGAAGAACTAAGAACTTCCTCAGGTGATACAAAAACAGTCACTCCAGCCAGTAAATCCAGACATGGAGCAGGACTTGTTAGTAATTCTGAGAAGCACACTGACCATAAAAGCTCCCAGACCAGGAAAGTCCACACCCAGAGTGCTGTGTCAAAACCGAACCCTGTGGAGAAGGAAGCCTCTCAGTCTGGAACTCATGACACACATGCAGACCTGCAGCCTAGTCCTCGAGTGCTCCCTCGTGTTCCTTCAGGGAATGGGAGGACACAGAAGAGTGTGAAAAACACAGTCAGACCCACGGAAGAGCGTGTCACTCCACGAGAACCTGCTCTCGAACATTCCACAAGTATAGATTGCTCACCACAGCTGAATTCAGGGACCCTTGCAGCTCAGACACAGTCTCCCGATGCAGATGTTACTCCTTTAACCGACAAACAATCTGCTGTAGAAGGTGGCAGAGCCACTGCCTCCCCTATGAACTCTGAAATTCATAACCAGAGTTTGACTCTTGGGGAATCAGAAGTCCCCAGGACACAGGATAGCAAAGTCGGTGGTGCCATTTCCACCAGAGAGACATCGGCAAAAACAGGTTTGGACAGCAAAAGACACAGTCCAGAAGGTTGCCAGGCAGCTTCACCGCTTAGTAAGCAAGGAAAAGTGAGCACGTCTCTTGGTAGTGAGTTAACAGGCTCCATTGAGGAAGATGGGAATGCTGACAAAGATGGCAGCTCTGTGGACAGGGCAGAGAAAAAATGTGACCTCAGCACAGAGCCCCATTCTAAGCAGACAGTTGGAGCCACAGTCGAGAATGGAAGGAAGGATGGTGTAGCCGCTGATTGTGTGGTAGGCAGGAGCACAGAAAGAGGTGTTGGAACTGTTGAACGTAAGGAGAATCGAGACCCAAGTGAAGTAGGCAACACATCAGCTGAAGCTGAAAGAAGGAACGGAAGTAGTGAAGTGGATACCAGTGCCGGAAATGACATGGCACCCCCTGTCTCACACCAGACAAATGGAGAAGCCAAGCATGTGCCGGCCAGGTGTGTGGGAGCAGAAAAGACTCCTGTTGCCACGAGCACTGAGGGGAAAATGAAGGATGTCACCTCAAACCTAGCAAAGGCTGGAGATGCCTCAACCACTTCTTCAGAAACAGGAGAGGGGAAGGGGCCTGTCCCCTGCACAAGCATCGAAGCTGATGAAGGCGTCGTAGCCGATGCGGGTCCCGTCCCTCCTGTAGGGGCAGAGGCCAGCAGAGGAACTGTGTTTGCTGCAGCTGAGGAAGGTGGGGCGTTTGTGACAGAAGGCCTTGCTGAAAGCGAGACTTTCCTCACAAGCACCAAGGAAGGAGAAAGCGGGGAGTGTTCTGCAGCTGAGTCTGGAGGGAGAGTAGAAGAGCCAGCACCTGCTCATACTGTCACAGCTGAAGACAACATCAGTGCAGTGACTGAGGAGAAAGATGATGCTGTGACGAGTGCAGGCTCTGAGGAGAAATGTGATGGCTCTTCAAGTCAAGACTCAGAAGTCGCTGAAGGAGCTGTTGCCTTCATTAGTGAGGTTGAGAGTGACGGGGCAGTAACAAGTGCTGGGACAGAGATAAGAACAGGCTCTGTCAGCAGTGAGGTCGATGGGTCCCAGAGAGACGTGGCAAGAATGGGCCCCAAGAAAGAAACTGACGGGGCAGTGACTTGTACCAGAGCAGAGAGGAGAGGTGGGAATTTTGTGATGTGCTCAGTGATGGGTGCAGAGCCCCCAGAGGAGCTCATGGTTACAGGGGCAGCTGCGGTCCTGGTGGACAACAACGAGCCTCTGGGAGCAGGTGCCCCACAGGGACAAGACGGCCCTGCCACTGATGGCACTGAAGGCGAAAGTGCCGTCACCAGTACAGGGATCACAGAAGACAGCGAGGGGCCTGCAAGCTGCACAGGCTTGGAAGAGAATAATGAAGGTTTTCCTCGGAGTTCTGAGTCCGAGGGAAACGGCGAGAGTGCTATGGACAGCACAGCTGCTGAAGAAGTCACTGATGCCCCATTGGTTGCTACTGGTCTGTGTGACGATGAAGGTGTTGTGACCAGCACGGGTGCCAAAGAGGAAGACGACGAGGGTGAGGGTGTGGTGACGAGCACTGGCAGAGGAAATGAAGTTGGGCATGCTTCCACCTGCACAGGGGTAGAAGAGGGTGACGGGGGCATGATTTGTGAAAGTGCAGAAGAAGGGGTTGGCCAGGCTGGGACTGCAGCAGGGCACGTGGAGGCAGAGGCCGGGGCGGCCGTCACAAACGTGAACGAGAGTAACATTGATAGCCTGAGCGGTGCAGAGAAGGAAGAGAAAGATCCAGAGATCTGTTCGAGCGCGAAGGGGGTGGTCGAGAGCAGCGTGACCAGTGCAGCCCCAGGGAAGGGGGAAGCAGTGGGTGTGGCTGGAGCGTCTGAGGGTCCCATGACTAGCGCTGCTTCCGATGAAAGGGACAGTCAGCTCTCTGGAACAGGAAGACTTGAGGAGGCAGCCATTTCCACAGGCCTTGTGGGGGGTAGCTACAAGGTCCTTGTGTCCGGTGCTGGCCCAGTCTGTGAGGTTGGTGACACATTGCCCAGAGAGAAAGAAGATGAAGGGGCCATCACCTCTGCGGACAATGAAGACTGTGATGGCCTTGTGGCTACTATAACCCGTGACACTGTGGCCAACCAAACTCATGCAGCTGGGGGCCAAACGCAGGGCAAAGGCTTGGTTATTTCTACCAGTACAATGCATGATTACACCACTCAGTTGGGCCAGATTATTAATGTGGAGGAAAGTCATCCGTGTGTTCTGAGCACTGAGCCAAAGGGGGAAGGCACCCGTGGGCGTGTGGAAGAATTTGAGGCTCCCATGCCCAGTGCAGTTTCGGGAGCCGAGAACCAAAGCACCGTGCTGAGAAACGAGGAGAAAGATGAATGTGCCATGATCTCCACCAGTATAAGAGAAGAATTTGACATGCCCATATCCAGCGCCATGACTGTCAAGTGTGCTGAAAGGCAGCAGCTGGAAGCTGCCGTTGAAGAAAGGGTTGAAGGTCTGGCCCTGGTCAGCACGGACGACTTTGAGGTGCCTATGCCCAGCGCACCCACGGAACCCAAAAGTCCGCTCGCCTCCACCAGCAAGGAGGAGAAAGACGAGTGTGCCCTCATCTCCACCAGCATTGCAGAGGGGTGTGAGGCCTCTGTCTCAGGTGTTGCCATCCAGAGCAAAAACGCGTGCTTGGTGGGCATCCTGGAAGAAAAGGATGGCAGTGCTGTCATCTCCACAAGCTCAGGAGAAGACTCTGAGGGTCCCGTGTCCAGTGCTGCCCTCCAGGAAGAAGGCCACCCATCAGTCATGCCGACCGAAGAGACCAGTGATGCCACCCTGATCTCCACGAGCACGTCCGAAGGCTGTGAAGCTGTCATGAGCGGGGCTGCCTCGCAGGACGGGACTCAGCCCACCGCTCAGAGAGCGGAGGACTCAGGTGATTCCGCCATCATCTCCACCAGCACGGCCGAATGTGTGCTGGCCGCTGCTGGTGTGGACAGGCACACAGACAGGTATAGTCCTGCTGCAGGTGAACAAGAAGGCGACCCATCCACTGTAAGAGCTGGCAGGTGTGAGGTCCCCATGCCCAGCCACGTGGCTGAGAACAGCCGTCGGCATCCTGGGCCCATCACAGGAGAAGTGGGCAGTGCGGGAGCTGTGGACCACAAGGAGGGGCGGAATGGGGCAGTGGTCAGTGAGCTCCCCGCAGGGGGAGACCAGCTAAGCCCTGAGACGGAGAGGTGCTCCAGAGAGCCCCAGGATGAGAATAAGTCCCTCAGCACAGCAGAGAAGACCCCCCTGAGTTCTGTTGAAAGGGAAAAGGTGTCAGAGGCAGAGACTCTGTGGGACAGTGCGTTGGCAGTCCTGGGGAGCAGCGCCAACTCCTCCATGGGGCCAAGAAGGACGGAGCAGACTCCCCGGCTGGTCACTGAGGATCCTGATCTGGGTCCTCGCCAAGTGACAGCAGTAAATACTGGTGCTACGAACGCTGGTGATGCACCACACGTCAGCCAGGCTGCCTTAGAGGGGTCCTTACTTCCCCTAGCCCAGCAGGAGCCTGGGGGCCAGGTGAGAACCCCCACTGAATCTAGTAATGGCCAAGAATCAGCCATGACCACAATTCCCAAAGTCGCCAACAGTGAAGCTCCGTCAGCCGCGAACTATGAGGCAAGTTTAATGCCAAAGCATGGACCGAGAGATGCTGTGACCAAATTAGTCCAGGAGGAACTAGACCTCCAACGCACCGTCTCTTTTGAAGGAAGTTTGAGTGAAGCAGGTGAGACATGTCTTCGCATACGATAGCATTGGGCTGAGGTGACCCTGTGTGGAGTACCTGCAGAACAGTCTGGAAAGATAGCTTTTGGTGCCAGCATGTCACCAGATACCTCTTAGATGTTTGAAGGTTGAGTTCTGGGAAGAAACTTTTAAAGCCTTCAAACTTCACTCATTCCTCATGTCTAAGTAACAGGCAAGGCAGGAGGCAGAGGGACAGAGTCCGTGATGTCATCTGTGTGAAGGGCTGCAAGTCAAGGACAACCTTGCCCTTCGGGGGTTTGTTGCTCATCTAAGTGAAGAACAACTTGTTTAATCACCCGCATTCTACGAATGATAAAATAGATTCAATAACTTATGTGGTACTTAGGTACCTCCTAGGAAAACAGTTACTTCTAAGCCTCTGCTTTTTATGGGGGGAAATAGGAAACACATTCTCCCAACCTTGAGTCAGCTTAGGAGAGATTTACAGCCCTGTGTCGGCTCAGTGAAGATAGTGACTTACAATCAAGTAGTTTTGTTTTTTCCCAGCTGACAGATTGCAGAGACGGCTGGTCTTGTCAGAAAGGTGACTAGACAAGTCGTAGACTTTGAGCTGCCCACATTTCATTTCATTCTTCTTGCCTTCCACTCTCAGTCCTTTCACTGGGTCCCACAGGAGGGGGGATTTGCCTAATGCAGCCTCAGGCAAGTGGCTGAAGCTCCTTTCACAAGGACATTACTCTAGAATCTGTTCCTTTGAAGTTTATATCTGTTGCTATAGCCTTGTTCTGCATTTTCTTTGGAAGGCACAAATAGGCTTTTGGCAAGGAAAAGCCTGCCACGTGTTGGAAAAGGGATGGGTATTCTTTGGAGACCCATAGCAGGGGACATAGGACATAGGTGACAATTGGCAGAGTTACGGGGAAGAAAGGATAGAAGTCCACTAGAATTGAGAATGTTTCCACTAGAGAGAATTCTAATTTCTGTTGGTCTAGGTGGTTTTGTTTGGATAGGTGGGGGTTAGAGTTTTAGTTTCTTTTTTATTTGTGGCCCACAGAGGGGCATATGTGATGCCATTTATCAAAGCCCAGATCAGCTGCAATGCTAAGCAAGTACCATGCCCACTGTGATCACCTTGTCTCCAGCCTCTAGTTGGATTTTTAACTGAATATTCAATTTTACTGTGTCATTGTGAAGCAAGTATAGTGAGTCTGTTGATGAATTTATCGGACTTGAATGAAATTATGGGTTACCTTGAGTAACCCAGAGCACCTCCCCCACCCCTTTGTTTTTGGGCTACACCCAGGTGTACTCAGGGATCACTCCTAGAAGGGCTCAGGGGACCATATGTGGTGCTGGGAATCAAACCCAGGTTGACTGTGTAACACAAGCACCTTGCCCACTATATTATTGCTCTGCTCCCCACCCAAGTATTTCTTATAGGGACAAATAATATAGATCACTGTAGAAAAAAGACAACTTGTAAATAAGATACATCCACAACTTACTTTTGATCATTCTTCCTGGTGTGGTAGCTGAACCAGAAATATTCTTTACGTATACCTCAAAAATATGCATACATGTCCTGTGCCTTTTCTTTGAGATTTTTCATAGAACCGTTAAAGAAGAAAGAGGGTTTGACAAGTTTGATAAAGCAACTTTTTGGTTACCTTTTTGGGGTGTTCTGGCTCAGTGGGGATATTTCCTGATCCCGAGGGGACCATATTGGGTGTCAGGGAACAAAGGTGGGCCACATGCAAGGAAAGCACTTTACCCAGCCCCCATTACCTTTTGATTGGGGATATATGTTGTATACTGTTTTGTTTGGGTTTGGGCTTCTTCCAGAACTGCTCGGAGCTTCCTCCTGTCTGTGCCCAGGAATCACTCCTGGTAGGCTAAAGGGACCAATGTGGTGCTGGGGATCAAACCCAAGTCAACCATGTGCAAGGCCAGTGCCCGACTTGCTGTACTAACTCTCTGGCCCATATATGCAAACTAATTCTTAAATTGGCTTAATGGTTTGAATTTCACTAGGCAATGAAGAGGCACAATTGACTGTTTTGGGAAGCTCGAAACAGAAAACAGCATTGAAACCTGAGGTATGGCTGATGCATTATTTCTGCTGAGCTCTCTGGAAGGGTGTGGGGTATATGTGTGATTCTGCTGGAGGGGGGGGGGCCGAGAGGTAAGGCCATCTCAGTGAAGACACACCTTCAGCCCCATGGACACAAACCCGGAATCCAAGAGTCCTTCATTTCCTCCCTCCCACCCACATTGACTCCATTTCCAATGAGAGTTTCCGTTTCCAAATGGAGCCTAGATCCATCTGTTTACGTGTGTTTACACAGCACCACCCGATTTAAATCACTGCTGCTGGTTTTCTGTGTGGGTGTCTTCCCCTTGGGTCATTCAGCCCTTAGAGTTCTTTGTGTCAAGAGCAGGTTTGAGCCACGCTGGGTGTGTGAGGACCCCTCCTAGCTTTATGCTTAGGCCTCTCTTAGCTCTGTGCTCAGGAAACCATGTGGCCAGGGCAAGGCCCTTGGGGATGGATGGGCCAGTGATTGAACTTAGGGTTCTTATTAAAAATATACATTAAGGGGCCAGAGTGATAGTACAGAGGGCAGGGCATTTGCGTTGCATGCGGCCAACCGAGTTTGATCCCTGGCATCACACATGGTCCCCTTACCACTGCCAGGAGTCATTCCTGAGTGCAGAGCCAGGAGTAACCCCTGAGCATCATGTGGTATGACCCAAAAAGTTCAAAAACATGCATACGTTAAACCGAGTCATATTTTGCTTAAATTTTTCAAGAGACTTCTTAAATGTAGCTTTTGTTTTGTCACAGTCTGTGTGCTTATCACAGTTTAGTCTTCACGTCCCCTTTTCAGCATGACCTTGTCATCCTGGTACATGTGCCAACAAAGCAGTAAATTAATGTGGGGGTTCCACACAGTGCAGAGAAAGCCCAACTTTCCCCACAGGAGGAATGGGCAGGTATATCTGAGCAATGCCAAAGCCAACTTTGAATGGGATATTGAGAGTGGAAGTTTCTAAAGAAGAAGGCACCTACCAGGCAAAGCAGAAGGTTCTGGACAGGAAGAGGCAGGCCGATGGTGACCTTCATGTTAAGCGGTAGTTCCCACTCTGGCCCATGTGGCCTGTTTCGGATTCAGTGCCTGGATCCAGAATTCTGGGCCTCCTTTGTCTCACTTCAAGAGAAAGCCCACTGATGGTTAGATACATGGAATTGTATTTTCCTCTAAAGTTTGCATACTGCAAAGTTCGTTTTGACATTGTTACAGGATGCTAGGTAGATACTGAAGTTCACTCGTGCCTTTGTGTTTCACAACCTCAGTTAACTTCTTTATGGTTCTGTTGACATTAGATATGTGTCCCATCAAAGAACGAGAGAAATAATGACACTCTAGCACCGGGCGGAAGAACGTCACATGGGACCGGTAAGCACTTCTTGTTTCACCCTGGTGGAGAGTTGTGCAGTCATTGCCACTCAGAATCTGCAGTGGGCTGAGAGGAAAAACTGACAGATGCTGTGCATTTGCCTGTCACCATGAGATACACTTACAAAGCTTTCATGACTGGGTTTCAGTCATACTATGATCGAACACCCATCCCTCCACCAGTGCACATTTTCCACCACCAATGTCCCCAGTATCCCTCCTGCCACCCCCACCCCATCCCACTCCACCCCGTCTCTATGGCAGGCACTTTCCTCCTTACTCTCTCTCTACTTTGGGGCATTAAGGTTTGCAGTACAGATACTAAGAGGCCCTCATGTTTGGTCCTTAGTCTACTTTCAGTACACCTCCCATCCCGAGCGATCCCTCCAACCATTGACTTACTGGTCCCTTCTCTATCCCAGCCGCCTTCTCTTCCAGCACATGAGGCAGGCTTCCACCTATTGTGTCTACTACTATCCTTGGATGTTAGTCTCCCATTCTGTTACTTTATATTCCACAAATGAGTGCAGTCCTTCTATGTCTGTCCCTCTCTTTCTGACTCTTTTCACTTAACATGATACTCTACATGTCCATCTATGTGTAAGCAAATTTCATGAGTTCGTCTTTTCTAACAGCTGCATAGTATTCCTTTGTGTAGATGTACGCCTATCACTTTTTTGAACAAGATGTAGAAAGAATGCTTTTTCATGTCTAGCATAAATTTTTTTCTCCTGTAGTAATATTTTAGATACTGTACTTAAATGGGCTGGAGCGATAGCACAGCGGGTAGGGCGTTTGCCTTGCACGCAGCCAACATGGCCGACCCGAGTTCGATTCCTCCGCCCCTCTCGGAGAGCCAGGCAAGCTACCCGTGCTGTATTTGATATGCCAAGCACAGTAACAACAAGTCTCACGATGGAGATGTTACTGGGCCCGCTCGAGCAAACCGATGAATAACGGGAGGACCGTGATACCGTGATACCATACTTAAATCTCCTAACTCCAGATAAAGTTATTTTGGGGGATACTCTGTGCTCCTCAAGCATCTCTGGTCCTTCCCTGCTTTTCCAGGTGGCATCCAGCTCATTTCCAAATGACCTTTAAGCCATCCCTGCCCTGCGTCCCCCAGGGCCCTGGGTATGGCCTGTTCCCAGCTTGCCTTGCCCCTCTCAGCTGCTGCTGTTTGCTTACTGTATACTCAGCTCTTGGGCATGGCCTCCCTCCCAAAACGGGTAGGTTAGCAGCTCCTGTCCCCGGGCCACTGGAACTGCTCAAAGTTGTTGCGGGCCTCAGGGAACTTTTCTTACCTAGATTATATTCCTACTGATATTTACAGGATGCAGAACTAAAAGGAGAAAGTTGTAAAATAGGTACTTCAGAATCAGATGGCTAACTTGGAGTATGATCACTGGAATCAGTCATACACTTTTTGTGAAAAATAGCTCAATTTTTGTACACAGACTTTGTCAGGGTGATTTTGATCGCACACACCAGAAGACCCTACACATTCCTGCGTAAAGGAAACGTGGTAGCCCGGTGTAGGCCTTCATTTCCGTAAATCAAGTGACGTAAACTTAACAAATACTTCTCAGGCTCAGGGAAACTGGAGTCAGTTTCGGGACGTCGTGGTCGCAGGCTTTTGCAGTTCTCATCCCAGTTGTGTCATCAGATGGCCTCGCTTGGGGCCTGCGTGCAGACCTGTCACACTTTTGTTTTCCTTTGGGTACGTGGAAGGGGGCTGAGCTGTGGGAAAGCGCCCTGTGCAGTGTGTGTTAAAGCAGAGAGGGACAGCGTTCTTCTTGTGAGGGTTCTAGCTGCATCCTGGACTGCATCCACTTGACCTCATCCAGCTCTGTCTCCCAGCGGTGGCCCTCCAGATGCTGTCACTTTAGAAACGAAGGTTTTAATATTTGTGAATTGGAAGGGGGCATCAGGCACAAACGTGGCACTCACGAGATTGACCTTAAGGGCAGGAGTTTGATGATACCGCCCCTGAGACACAAATGCAGCTCCTGAAGTTCAGTGGCTCAGCTGCCTTCATTGTCAGCAGAAGAAATGACCTTTTCCTTGAGGCCTGAAATAACCTCTGCTGTATAACCGCTCCAGCTCCTTTGTCCTGGGGCCGGAGCAGTAATACAGCAGACAGGGCACTTGCCTTGCACATGGCCCACCCGGCAGCCCATAGGGTCCCCCAAGCGCTGCCAGCAGTGATTCCTGAATGTAGAGCCAGAAGTAACCCCTGAGCTTTGCTGGGTGTGACCCCAAACAAAACAGACAACACAGGGACAGGTCCCTTTGTGCTCTTGTTCCTGGCTAAAACCCTCAGAGTTAGATGGCTGTCTTTATCCATCGCAAACTAAGGACTTTCCAGAGAAAATGTGACTTGCTTGTTGACATAAATTGAATGTTCTGTTCACGACGCAGGAGTCGAATGGGCAGGGCCAGGGAGAGCCTGGCAGTGCTTTGCCTGCAGAGAGCCTGGGTCTGTTTGCAGCTTTCTTTTGTCCCCCAAACATCGTCAGGTGTCCCCAGCAAAGTAAATGTGCGCCTAGAGAGATAACATGGTCTTTCTCATTCTTGTCCCTGAACAGCTGAAATGCAGAGCAAATCTCCGCCGGCGAGTGAGTCCCTCAGTGTAAGTTACCCTCACGGTCGAGCGCGTTTTCTTAGGAGCTGGGAGGCATTTGGAGCTCGCTCTCGTTTCCATTCATTCACTATATTTACTAGGCTCACGAAAAGTGGTTCTTTCCCTCAGAATAAAAGAGTCACTCCCAATGTAGCAGCACCGCACTCCTGTGGCAGACCCAGATAACCCAGAGAAAAAAAAACACACTGGAGCGGCCGAGCCATAGTCCAGTGGGGAAGGCATTGGCCTTGCCTGTGGCCAACATGGGTTCGATCCCCGGAATCCCACATGGTGCCCTGAGCACCGCCAGGGTAATTCCTGAGTGCCTTGCCAGGAGTGACCTCTGAGCATCGCCAGATGTGACCCAAAAACAAAACCAAAGAAAGAAACTGACCTGATTCAGTTACTAAGAACCTCCCAGAGCTCTGAGCTTGATGGTGTCTGTTACTGCCGTGGGATGAGAACAGGAGTGTAGTGAGTTAACTCATCCGGGTGCTGGCTACCAAACGACTTTTATTTGGAGAATTAAAATTCGCATCATTCTGGAAATGCTTTCCAGAGGAGCCTAAGATGAAACTGCTGTATTTCCCATTTGTGCCTTTTACAATTCCTTGAGTGCTTACAAGACAAGATTTGTTCCATCGCGCATATGCCACGAGGATGTGTAGAGGCGCGGCCCACTGGCAGCCCCCATAGAGCTCTGCTCACTCCAGGCCAGCTCCAGCCCCAGAGGCCTCCCTCCTCCCCCGTGGAGACAGCCAGCTGCTGCAGACGGCCACTGCGTGAGGAGAGAAATCTCCTCGGCGCAGATTCACCCTCCAAAAGCTGACAGATCTCCATGTGGCTGCAACTTCCAGAGTGGAACTTGGAGGGTGTAGTCAGAAGTCCCGGACCCCCGCTGTGCCCCAGCGTCCTACCTTAAACCCCTGAACCCTCTAGTAGCTGCCTTCATCAAAGTGGAGCCACCTTTTTCCCCAGCATGCATAAAATTTTGTAGCTAGGCTTTTGAATGTTGCTTGATGTTCTGAGATTTGCCCCTTTGGAAAAAGAACACATTAAAAACGTTTTTTAAAAAGACTAAAAAAAAAAAAGACTTGACAAGAGTAGCCAGACATCTCAGGAGCAGATCCTTTAAACATTGTCCCTTTCTCACCTGTTTTGTTGCAATTGTAAAAGAGGGCTCGCGCATGCGTGCTCTCAACGCCTGGGGGTGGTGCCCACGCCCCCTGGCCCCGCTGTAGCACCAGGCTCCTGACAGCAGCTTGCCCCCTGCACCAGTGGAGTGCTGGGCTCAGACCCCTGACTTCACACACTCAGCCTCAGTCCCCCCCCACCGCCCAGGCCCCACTGAAGTCACAAGATGATAAGCAGTCTTTGGATGGCAAAGGAACTTGTTCAGTTGCTAAAACTCACTCTTTTACTACCGTCCTTTAAAGGAAAAGGGAAATAAACCCCACAGGATGATGATTTATTAGATGGAAACGTCTTCGCAAGGCAGGTTTGCTCTGGACCTCCTGGGTGGGGTGCAGTGCCCAGGCAGTTTGCCAGCCCCTTTCAGCATCCCCACAGCTAGCCTGTGCAGATTGCCTTCCATATTTTCCTGCTGCCTTTATGGCTTTTGTGAGATTATTCATGAATGACTTTCTTTTTTTGTGTTCAGGTTGAGAATTCAGGTTCACAGACAACTGAAGAAGTTCAGAATGACTCTTGTGACAAAGGAGGTGAGTTAATGCATTCACCAGAGTGTTGTCAGGATTAGTGGATTAGTGGTGGTCACCATGGAGCATGCATCACCCGATGTGTCCTGTGGCTGTTATTTCACAGATTTCCATTCATTTAATCCCTGCCGTCCTGAAGGCTGACAGACTCACAGCTGTAGTTGAGGAGACTGAGGCTTGGAGGGGACCCATAGCTTGTGTAAGACCGGGAAGCTGGGGCCGGAACTGGGGTGAGACACTTGCCTGGCACACAGGTGACCAGGTTCAGGCCCCGGCCCCGGCCCCACAGATGGTTATCTGAACACCACCAAGAGTGGTCCCCGAGGGCAGAGTCAACTGGGTGTGGCCCCAAAACAAGTGATGGCAGCTGGTATATTGCCAGCAGCTCACTGCGGACTTAAACCTGTATGAATAGAAAATGTTCCGCGTAACCTGGCAGGCTCTGGCAGTGGTGCCCAGTGATCACGCCAGTTTCTGTGCTGTCGCAGGAGAATGCCAGCGTCAGAGAGAGTTCTCTTCCCACATACCTACCGTATGGTTTAGTCATTGCTCAAAACTTGGTGTGCTTCTTTCCTGTTCTTTTTCAAATGCCAGCCCAGGCTGGGGAGATGGTACAGAGGTCAAGGCACGTGCCTGGTGTCAGCTAGTCCTGGTTTGGTCCCCAGCACCCGGTGGTCCCCACAGAGCCAGGAGTAGCCATCCACCCACACACTTGTCAGGGCTGACCCTAAGATCCAAAAATGTGAATACAGACTAAAATGTGAGAGAGGAAGGCGCACCATGCCTGCCCCCATCCCAGCTGCTTTCCCCTTTTCCCAGTGCAGTGTCGGGACAGTTCTACTCTCACTGTGTTTCCTGGGCAGCTCAGCGGGCTGGTGATGCTCTGGGGGAGGGGATCGCCCTATAGGAACCTTCAGCTCTGTGCTTGTTCTGGGCTATTTCGAGATGCCATCATGTGTTTGTGTCTAACATTAGTCACATCAGCTAGGCGTTCCTGACTATTTCATACATGAATATACCAGAATACATTTGCTGCTCTGGTCAGGAGATGGTCTGAAGCTTCCTGCATCACCAAGGGCGCCGCCCGCCGTGGCATGTTCTGGGGTCCCTGCTTGTACGGAGCCTAAACGTGCAGCCATGCAGTTGCTGGGTCGATAGGCAGCTCTTAGCAAAACTGCTCATGCCTCGTTATCCCTGTGAGGGGCCCCACGCTGTCCCTTCCTTCTCTTAGCAGCCTCTCCTGGTTGATGGCGTCACATGAGTGCATGGTCGCTGAGGTGATGGCCGAAACCAATCTTGTTTATCCCCCATGCACACACTCCGTCCGTGCTGTCCACCAGCCTGGTAGGGACTGTGGAATGTGTTGTGGTCTAGTATGAGACCCACGTCCCCTTTGTAACCCATGAATCGACTCGGATGGGAATTGCGCTCACCTCGCTGCCGTCCGCGGCGATATCTGCCTCCACTGGTCTTGCCCCTGCTGCATACTTCTGAAGTCTCAGAGGGATTTAATATTGAAGGTGTTTTTCTCTTTCTGTTTTTATTTCCAGAGATACCCAGTGGCAGCAAAGAGAACCCAGAAGCCCACAGAGAGTGTACTGCCGAGGCACATTCAAAACAGGTGCACTTTCAGAAGATACCTTTGGATGGCTGCTTTTACATGTGGTATTGGGGGGGGGGGGGGGGGTGCAGCTCACCAAGAAGGACTTTGTTGGGTGTCCCAGGTTTCCTCGGATATACACCTGTTGCATGTCAAGAATGATTCCACATGCGGGTGTTTCTGGCTTGGCTTGAAAGGTGTGTGATCACCTAGTTGACTTTGATGATACTTTGATTTTACTTTGTTTGGGGGCAGGGTGCTAGGTGATGCTTCTGGTGGTTCTCGGGGAATGGAACTGGGTCAGCACATACAAAGCGAGTGCATCAACCCCTGTGCTACCTCTGTAGCTACTTCTGTGCATGGGGAGGGGAGGGAGGGTGTTGGATCACTCCCAGCCATGCTTAGGGCTTACTCCTGGCTCTGTGCTGGGGAATCACTCCTGGATGTGCTCAGGGGACCCTGTGTGGTGCCCAGGATTGAACCCAGGTAAACCACTTGCAAGACAAACACCCTGCCCGCTAGTACTGTTGCTCCAGCTCACTGGTGATTTTTTTTCCCAGTGATTCTAAAGGAATTGGGAGAGAGCTCTAGTCGGAGAATGCTTTGATCCTGGCCCTACCTGGCGCTTTTGCATAGCCAGATGTGACCCCTGTGTCACTCAGCACTGTTGGGGTAACCTCTATAAAAAAAATTACTAGGGCTGCAGAGATAGTATTGGAGGTAAGGCACTTGCTTTGCATACAGCTCTTGTGGCCGCAGTTGACCACATAGGGTCCCCTGAGTGTCCAGCCAGGAGTATCTTCTGAGTACTGCCTGAGGTGGCCCAGAAACCCAAAGAAAAAGAAATCAATAACAAGGTGGAGGCGAGTGGAGCCTGTGTGGGTTTGTATATGGACAACCCCAGATTTCTCACTGGCTCCCAATAAATGGAAGCTATAAGATTGTTTTCTCATATTTTGCTTCTTATGATTCCTTTAATGGGGGGCCCCGGGGAAGACAGAAACATTGCCATTTATTTTGTTGCTTATTACCAATTTTAATACATAGATTGACTTTGGAAATGTTCAAATGAGAAATAGTCACAGAACATTTCATGACAAGCGTTGAAATGTAATGGAATAGTTATCACTAGAAATGTTTAGTTACTTTGCATGGATTTATATTCAGAAACCCCAAATGTGGGTCCCAAGAGTGCCTTCCAAATCTAGATGCGTACAGTTTTATTCTTAAACATTTATACCAGATTTTTATCCCAAAGGCTAGTGTTATTTGCCCCATTTTCAGCAAATTCTGTTGGCCTTCACCCTGGTCATTCTTACTTCCAGGTTGAAGAGGAAGAAAAACTTACACTTAAAAGAAAAAGAAAGAAGCTCTGCCTCTCTTCAGAAGATGAACTGGGTATTTGAATATATTCCTGCCTCATACCTCTTTGAAAATCACAGCCTCCTCACATCTGAGATGTGAACCAGTGACAGAAAATTCCCGAAGATAGTACTTGTTTATTTCCCGGCTCCTGAGCCTGGTTAGCTCGCCCGGTGTTTTCTGGGTTTGACCTCTGCTCTGCACTCCCGGGACTCACACAATCCCGGGACTCACTCTGTACCTGGGGCCACGCTCCAGCCGGACGTGCCGGAGGAGCACGCGTCCTCAGCTGGGAGGCACTGTCCTTGGAGCCCTGCCTCTGTCTGGCCTCAGCTGTATGTGCCCGGACTGTCTCAGGAGATGCTCCCAGCCACACGTGAGGCCGAGCACTTCCGCATGAGCTTGGGCACAGAGGACTGTTTGTGGTGATTATTGACTTCATGAATAGGAACCATCCCTGAGCTCATGCACAGTCACGGTGACGGAAATAAAGGACCGGAGAGAGTGACCGTCTCCAGAGAAACCTGACCCGGGCCTTGATTTTCATCTTGTAATCTCTTGAGTCTCCACTCCCCTCGGGCGTGGCCTTATTCCTGGAGCTGAGAGTGCTCCAGGAGCCCCTGCTGCTTTGCTGCTTCCACTGGAGCAACCGTGGGGGCATCTGTTGGGGCTTCTTGTTGGTTTTTGCTCTGCCGGAGCCCAGGCCAGGGTTCAGTGCTCTAATGCCATATTGCAAAGACATTTAGAGTCACTTTTGTCTTCATGGTATCACAAGCCTACGGAAAAAGAGACTCAAATTGTCTTAAAATAGAACCATGCCTTTCATTTTTTTATTGCGCTTTTATTCCATTGTAATTGTGTCCAAACTAATTTGCAGATGATGCTCCAGATATCCTGGCTTCCGGAAGAGAAACAGTACAGAAACAGTGTTCCGAGATGGACCCACAAGATACAAGGGTACTTTATTGACACACTGACTTTGGGGGAAACCTGATTGTCAGACTATGAATGCATCTTACTATTCTTTTTCATTCTTGTATCATTCTTTATTTATTTATTTATTTGTTTTTTTTGCTTTTTGGGTCACACCTGGCGATGCCCAGGGGTTACTCCTGGCTCATGCACTCAGGAATTGCTCCTGGCCGTGCTCGGGGGACCATATGGGATGCTGGGAATCGAACTTGGGTCGGCCATGTTCACTGCGTGCAAGGCAAACGCCCTACCCACTGTGCTATCGCTCTAGCCCCTCTTGTATCACTCTTTATGTAACTAATAATCATCCCTTTATTGTAAGAAGTACTTTTTAGATTCCCCCCAAAACAGATTTTCTATTTTATAATTTTAAACTAAATGATTCTATTAATAATCGCAAAGTTTAAATGTATAGCTTGGTTTTTGTTCAGTCATATTTTTGTTTGGGGGCCACACCCAGTGGTGCTCAGGGCTCAGTCCTGGCTCTGCGCTCAGGGGTCACTCACCCTGTGTGATGCTGGGCATCAAACCCAAATGCAGGTGCCTTCCCCACTGTCCTATCTCTCTAGCCACTTCGTCAGTGTATTGGGTGTGATCCAATTGGATTTTGATCCAGAAATCTTTTTAAGATTCTTGCAAAGTACTACGTTGTTTTACTGATACACTTGTGTGAAGACATTGAAAATTAATAATAGAGATTACTTTATATTTTTAATATTCTTCCTTCTCTCTACTTCTTGTCTCTAAAGTAGTAGGTAAGGATTTACCTCACACATTGTTATTTTTTTCCTTATGATCTTCTTTCCTCTTTAGATTGGGGTGTAGCTTACCCATCAGCATTTCTGTTTCCTGGCAGAGATCTCTTAATTGGGTGTTTTTGTCTTTCTGAATATTGAGTTCTCATTTTCTAATCCTAAATAGTGCGATCACCACGATCATGACCATCCTGTTGTTCGTCGATTGCCTCAAGCAGGCACCAGTAATGTCTCCTTCATCCTAGCCCCAAGAATTTTTTAAAAAGTGCCATATTCAAGGCTCTTTCAGAGTTAGGAGAATGAGACCCATCATTGTTACTGGTATTTGGCATATTGGGTACGCCACGGGGAGTTTGCCAGACTCTGCCGTGTGGGCAGGTTACATTCGGTAGCCTGCCATTTTGTCCAAAGTAAGAATGAGTTAATAAGATAAAACCCGGGAGCTGGGTTTTATAGTCTCTGAGTCTTGGCCGTTGAGGGGATGACACGGCGCTAGGGGGCCAGTTGGTGGGTGTGACCCGTGCCTACTGGAATTTGGAGGATCTGGGTGGAGGATGCTCAGCCCCAATCTGAGCAGGCTTGGAGATCTCAGCCCCGGGACCCGCATGCCTTTGTTCCTCTGCCGGTACCTTCATGCGTGTGGAGAGTGGTCTCAGCATGGTGGTGGCTGGTTCTGGAGGTCTTCGGCTGCCAGAGCCCTGGTCGGGGCGGGGAGGGAAACTCAACCCGCTCCCCTCCAAGGGGCCCTGGCGAGGACAGCCAGGCGTGGGGGCACAAAACCTCTCCTTACAACAACCCATGACAGATTTCTCCCCCAGTATTATAGTCTATTACAAGGTGAACTCAACCTGCTCCCCTCCAAGGGGCTCCGGCGAGGACAGCCAGGCGCGGGGGGGCGGGAGACTGGAAGAGAACAGAGCAAATAGTACTATATCCTAATATTTGCTTTTACCCTAAGTTATTTTTTTCCACCTATTCCAAAAGTATCTAAGCATATAAAAGCAGGCAGATCACTTTTTCCCCACTATAACTGACTTTAAAGTCTATTTTTACCCCAAGAGTGATGATAACTGCATGAATAAAATGCAATTAGATGTCACAGCTATTTATCAGGGAACTGCCCCATTGAAACCCCTCGGCCCCACTGCAGGTCCAGATGTGGAGGAGGATGTTTTCATGCACGTCCTTTCCCTCTGGGTCCCCCAGTCCACGTGGATTTGACCACGAATAGCTTTATTTGTTCCCAGGAGTGACTGAGGATTTCACCAGAGAAATAACCAGGATTGCAACCGACTGATGATAAGTGGCAGGGAAACTCTAGAACCCGTTCTAGACTTGAAGTAATAGCAGCAAGAAAGTACCTGTTTTATAATCCTCAAACTTGATTCTTTACATTAACATACTGTATTTTTTAGTGAACGTCAGTAAGAGGCCTGAATAGTAGTACAGGGGGGAGGGTGTTTGCCTTGCACACAGCCAACCAGAGCACTGTGGGAAAAGGCTCAAAAAACAAAACAAAAATTTAAAAAAAAATGGTAATCAATTATAAATTCCTGTCAGTTTTCCCTTTGGAGTCTCTTCTGTGGAACAAAGTCCAAGTTGTGGAGCAATAGTCCAGCGGGTAGGGCACTTGCTGTGCGCTTCCTGTGTTCACTTTCTGCCATCCCAGATGGTCCCCCAAGCCCACCAAGAGCAATTCCTAAGTGCAGAGCTACAAGTGAGCCCTGAGCGCTGGGTGTGTCCCCAAAACAGAAATAAAAACCAGGTGCAGATGGGGGAAAAAGAATGATTTTCAGGGTGCAGGAGAAAACAAAAATGAACTTGTAGCTGCATGTAATAGAACCTAAATATCATGTTTACCTTCTTCAGAGTTTGTGTCTTTTTCGGCGTCTCAGTGACAGCAAAAGTAATTACTTTTGGGGGGCCAGAGAGGTAGTACAGTGAGTAGGGCATTTGCCTTGCATGCGGCTGACCTCCGTTTGATCCCGGGCGTCCCATATGGTCCCCCAAGCACCACTAGGAGTGATTCCTGAGTGCAGAACCAGGAGCATCTCTGGGTGTGACCCAAAAAGCCAAAAAAAAACACCTTTTTTCAAAATCTCCCAACAAACTATTCTAACAGATTATTATTTGAATCTTTGAAGTAGAAAGAAAGATTTAGGGAGAATCAGTGGCAGCAGAAATTTCTCATCTTGTGCAACTTCTTTATAGGATGAGAATTCTGGAGATCTGGATGAATTATCTAAAATAAGTTCCAAAGCAAGCAGCACTGCTTCAGGAACCCTGGAAGAAAAGGGTGAGTAGTTCTGCTGCGCACAGAGATGATTGGGTGGGAAACTGACTCTGTGCAGCCGTGGGCTCTGTCCCCCACCAGGCTTCCCCACGGGGACCTGCGGCCTGCTTACCTGCCCTACACTGGCACTGGGCAGTCACTTTCCGCCGGAATCTTGTTACGCCCAAAGGGCTTCTCGCTTGGACAGACTCCACCCTGGTAATTTTGGTGGAGTAGACCCGAGTGTGAGCGTGTGTGTGTGTGTGTGTGTGTGAGAGAGAGAGAGAGAGAGAGAGAGAGAGAGAGCAGGTCATCTTGGCAGTTGTCTAGTCGTCTCGGTGTGAGGCAGACACAGGTCCTCAGCACTGTACTGTGCTCTGCCGTTTCTGCAGATGAATACAGCAGCAGTGATGCCGCTGGCGAGAAGACCGAGCCAAATGACGACGATAACATAAAATCTCAGGAGGTAAGGGGTGACTTTTGTGATACGTTGGTTTCAATTTCTTTGTTGTTGTTTTCATTTTTTATTGTATTAAATCACTGTGAGATAGATCCTTCTAAAGCTGTTCATGATTGGGTTTCAGTCAGACACTCTTCCAACACCCGTCCCTCCACCAGTGTACATTTCCCAGCACCAGTGTCCCCAGGTTCCCTCCCACTCCCCCAAACTGCCCTCCGTGCCTCCCTGCCTCTATGGCAGGTCTGTCCCCCTCCCCTTGACCCCCTTTCCGGCCCTTCCCCCACCCCCTCTCTCATAATGCCTAATTGTAGGCATTCTGGTTTGCAAGACAGAAGCTGAAAGGTTATCATGTATATCCCTTTACCTACTTCCAACACTCAGTTCTTGTCCAGTGTGATCATTTTCAACTAAGGTTGTCGTAATGGACCCTCCTCCTCTATCTTAACTACCTTCCACCCCCCAAACCCTCGTGGTAATTTCCAACCATTGACCAGTCCTCCTGGCCCATCCCTGGCCTTGGATATTAGTTTCATACTGTTTTCCTTTTTTTTTTAATATCCCATCACTCCAGCCTAGGGCTGGAGTGATAGCACAGCGGTAGGGCATTTGCCTTGCACGCAGCCAGCCCAGCCAAGCCAGGTTTGATTCCTCCACCCCTCTCGGAGAGCCCGGCAAGCTACCGATAGTATTCAATATGCCAAACACAGTAACAGGAAGTCTCACAATGGAGATGTTACTGGGCCCCCTCGAGCAAATCGATGAACAGCGGGAGGACAGTGTTTGTTTGTTTTTAATATCCCATAAACGAAGGCAGTCATTCTGTACCTGTCCCTCTCCTTCTGACTCATTTCACTTAGCATGATACTCTCCAAGTCCATCCACGTATAGGCAAATTTCATGACCTCATTCGTCCTAACAGTTGTGTGGTATTCCGTTGTGTAGGGTGTAGGGTTCCTGTTTCTTTAAAGCAAATAAAAGGATATCAGATGCTGTGAGTGTTTTTCTCAAGAGCCCTGGAAGAAGGTCTTTGTGGCGGTGCTGTTCCTTGTGAGTGCTGTGGACCCCATTTGCCTCTGGAGTGTTCTATCAGTGTCACTTGATGAATCATGTTCTTCGCTTCATTTCACCAAAACATTCATTTCCACGGATCCTACTTATGTCACGGCCAGACAGGCTGAGCCCAGTGCTGTACCTCGGGGACATGTCAGACTCCCGAGCAGGTTGGCACCACCACACCTGGTGCTAGAGGAGGCCAGGGTGGGGGAAGCAGTGACAGGGCATGTGGAGGCCGGGATCCAGTGTCATGGAGCCCGGGGAGGCTGACTCCCAGCCCCGGCCATTCGGCTGGTTCATACTCAGAGAGGGAAGGGCCTGTGATGCTCTTCGTGACGCATCTTTCTAGCACTTCCTCAGACATCTGGGTGAGAATTGTAGCCTTCCCCCTTTAGGTGTTATCTATTATATATAATGTAGCCTATTGTGCAGTGTGTATCATATATTCATATAGAGAACATTGGGTTTGCATTCAGACCAGTGCCAACGGGAATGCTTACGCACGTGCTTCTGTATCCTCATGGCCCTCTGGACACTGAGCTCCATTTCGTTTATGAGCGCCCATCTGAACTGCTTGTTTTTTAAATGACGGAGATCTGAGACCTTTTTTTTTTTCTTTTTTTTTTTATTAGTGAATCACCATGAGGTACAGTTACAGACTTACAAACTTCCGTGCTTGCATTTCAGTCATACAATGGTCGAGTCTCCATCCCTCCACCAGTGCGCATTTTCCACCACCAGTCGTCCCAGTATCCCTCCCACCACCCCCACACTGTCCCCTATGCCACCCCACCTCTGGCAGGGCATTCCCTTTTACTCTCTCTCCTTTTGGCTGCTGTGGTTTGTAGTAGAGGTATTAAGTGGCCATCATGTTCAGTGTGCGTCTCCCATCTCGAGCGGATCCTCCTAGCACCCTTTACTCAGTGGTCCCTTCTCTATCTGAGACAGCTTCTCCCTCAGCATGTGCAGCTGGCCTCCAAGCCATGGAGTGAACCTCCTGGTACTTATCTCGGCTATTCTTGGGTGTTAGTCTCCTATTTTGTTACTTTATGTTCCCCAGACGAATGCAGTCTTTCTATGTCTGTCCTTCTCTTTCTCTTTTAGTCATCTGTTTTCGGGCACTCAGGTTTTTTTCCAGATTCTGGCTATTGTAAACAGTGCTGCACATACAAAAGCAGATGTCACTCCTACTATACATTTTTGCATTTCCAGGATATATTCCCAGAAGTGGTATTGCTGGGTCAAATGAGAGCTCAATTTCTAATTTTTTGAGAATCATTCAGATTGTTTTTCAAAAGGGCTGAACTAGTTGGCATTCCCACCAGCAGTGACTCTTCCTTTTCTCCCCACATCCACACCAACACTGGTTGCTTTTGTTCTTTTGGATGTGGGCCAGCTGAGACCTTTTTTTAGAGGGAATGCTGAACCTCATTTTGAGAAAACACAGTATTTGTAGGGGGTATTGCTATTTCTTTTATTAACTTCGTGTGCACGTTTTCCTTTGCTCTTAGGAAGATCAACCAATAATTATTAAAAGGAAGAGGGGGAGGCCTCGCAAATACCCTGTAGACGCAGCATTAAAATCAAGTAGGTATTGGGTGTGTTTGCAGTTCCCGTGTTTGAAATTTGCAAACTGACTTTCTGAATGAGATTTATTTTTGCATTTTTCAGAAGAAGACTGCAAAGCAGATTCTGGCATTGTCACTGTAAGTAATGGCAAAAGACGTAAACTCTTCAAGTAGTTTCTCTTGACCTGAACAGGGTCCCCTGAAATATCTGGTATTTTGATCTACCTTATTTTTTTTTTAAGTATGTGAAAAGCATTTTGAAACTCTACTTAAATAAAACATTCACTAACCATCTGAAAATATTTCAGTGACCATGTAAACAGAATCAGAATTAGTTTTTCAGTTCCATGATATCCTCATCTGTGAGTGCTTAGATTAAAACATATTCATGCCCTTTTCTTCTTGTGGCCATCCTTGATTGAAGTATAAAAATTTGCAGGGTGAGCATATTTTCAGATAATGACTACTTCACGGGAGCCTCCTGTAAGTCTCACCATTTGAGGATTCTGGATTTAAAAAAAAATCGTTTTGAAGAGAAAATCCTCAGTGAGACTTGGTCTCTGTAGTATTAGTGTTGGTCTGGAACAGTATGGCCTGTGAAATCCCATCGGCAGGACAGTCTGTGTCCATGGCCCCGCCGGTGGATGGCCACTGTGATGCAGCCTCAGCCCAGCCCCTTCCTCCTGAGGCACTGCCCCACTTCTGCCCCAGCCCCTGAGGACCTCCACACTTCATCGCCTCAGTGTGAAGGGGAAGGACAGCGCCTCCCCATAGAGTGGGAAACTCTGGGACCAGAGAGATGGTCCGAGGAATCGAACACGTTTTGCATGTGGGAGCCCCAGGTTTGAGGTTAGAGCAGCACAGCACCACATTAGACGCACCACAGACAAGGCGTGACAACTGAAAAGGCCACGCAGCTTGCAGGCTGCTGTGGTAGCACAGGTGGGTGTGTCTCTGACCCCTCCAGGGAGCGGCCCGCCAGCCTGCAGAATGCCTCTAGACTGTCACGTGCGGCCACCCCAGTTCTCCTGGGGACAGGCCGTGTGTTCAGACCACAGGGTCCAGCCTTGACGGGCTCAGCCAGCCAGGGGTTGCTTCCTAGGGCTTCTCTGTATGCATAATAAATAGCAATCCCAAAGCCTGTACATGTCTGGTCGACTTCCCGCTGGGTGACCCGCTGCCAACTTGGCCATTGTGTGTGTGTTTGAATTTAGGCTGAACAATCTCCAGCCGGCAGCAAACCCAAAGCCGTGCAGACAGGTATGTGTGTCCAGCCCCGCCTGCGCGGGCAGGGGAAGGGGAAGGGCAGGGAGCTTGTGGGGTGTCCTCTTCCTCCGGAGTAGAAACGGTTGTCCATGTAATCTCAGGAAGCTCCACTGATTGACCTCCCCCGAGCCATTCTGGGTTTGGGACGTATAGGGACCTTCCGAGAGGCGGGAGAGTGACAGGACGCAGAGCGGGGCAGTGTCTGAGATGCCCTGGCTGTCTCCAGCGGGCGGTGTGGGAAGGCGACTCAGCTCACCCGCAGGAAGGCACTGGCGGCCTTGCTTGCAGCTGGCCCGGGTCTGGTCTGCAGCACCACACACGACCCCCAAACCCTGCCCGGGGATCCCTGAGCACGTCCGGGAGAGACCCAACATGGGGTTGGTGGGAACTTGGCTGGAGAAGGATACAGAAGTTCTTTTTTTAATGTGGAATGGTTTGTTTTTTGCCTCATTTAAAGGAGAAATTATTTTAATTACCCATGTTTTCATATAAATATGACTAGTTTTCTTTAGTCCTGCATCGCCATACTTTTTAGTGATATGACTGATCGAAGCATTTAAGTCAAGTTACTTGAGTCTCATTTTCTGTAGCTCTAAAATGGGACAGTGACATCTGCCAAGCTGCGTTTCTGTGCCCATGACCATGCTCTCTGCATGGGAGCACCCTCCTCCCTCTCTGGGAGGAGAGCATGAGTGCTGACAGCACCCTCAAGGTGCCCTGTCTTGAGTCCTTATCTAACAGATGAAAACCAGGCGTGGGTCATTTACCCCAACTACACCGGTTATTATAGTGACAGGTTTGGACTTTCATTCTGCTATCCTGATCCCCACCGAGTATTCCATCTCACAGTTTGATAGAAAATAATAGTGTAATTGTCATTTTATATATATGTCACTGTCCTCCCATTCATCAATTTTGCTCGAGCGGGCCCAGTAACGTCTCCATTTTGAGACTTGTTACTGTGTTTGGCATATTGAATACATCATGGGTAGCTTGCCAGACTTTACCGTGTGGGCAAGGTACTCTCGGTAGCTTGCCGGGCTCTCTGAGAGGGGCGGAAGAATTGAACCTGGCTCAGCCGGGCCATCTGTGCACAAGGCAAACGCCCTACCACTGTGCTATCGCTAAACTACTACTACTATTTATATATATATATACATATATATATATGATGATGATGATGATGATGATATGTGGTGCTGCGGGGAAGGCACTTGCCTTCTCTGGATTCTATCCCTGGCCCCACATCTGGTCCCTTGAGCCCCAGCAGGAGTGAGAAATAAGCCCTGAACATCACCAGGTGAGGCCCCAAAACAAACAAAGGGGGGAAAAGCAGATTGTTGAAACCTAATTATACTTAAGTAAAATATTCATGCAGAGATTTACCTTTCTTAAAGATGAGTCCAATAAAGAAGCGGCCAGCCTACAAGAAAGAAGTGTCAGCAATGTAAGTGCCCACTGTTGCCCGGGTGCGGCCAGTAGATGACAGCTGAGGAGGCGCCTGTCTGACTGCCCTTCCCACCCTGGTCTCGTTGCTTCCAGGATGACGATGAGAAGACCATCGCAAGCGTGCGTCGGAGAGGCCGCAAGCCCAAGCGCCCGCCCACCCTCTCAGACGACGCTGGTATGTTTGTTTCGCCTCAGAAACGCCTGTTCACGGGTCATTCCTGGGCAGAGGCACAGCCCCGTGAGGTCCAGCAAGCGTTAGTGTTCCAGATACCCGCGTGCACGGGCTCTTAATCCCGTGTCAGCGCTGCTACATCCCAGATGCTCCTCTGAGTGCCTGAGGACTGTTCCCGAGGGCTAGCAGGAGCTGCCTAAGTAAACTTTCCCCGGCGTGTTTGAGAGTAAGCTAAACAGTGCTGCGTTTCAAGGGCCGGAGGGGAAGGGGGCAGCACGGCGGCCTCCAGCGCGCCTCTACCGGGCCACCCCCCGGGAGGGACCCTCGGGAACTCTGCAGTCCAGGTGTGCCCCTTCTGCTTGAACAGAATCCTCAGAGCCAGAGAGGAAACGCCAGAAATCAGCTTCTGAGAGCACGGAGGATAAGAAAGACCAGGATTCAGAAGAAGATGAGGAGGAGGAGGAGGACGAGGAGCCCTCAGGAGCCACCACCCGCTCCACCACCAGATCGGAGGCCCAGAGGTAACCAGGGGCAGCCGCGTGCATTGGGGACCTCCCTGCCCTGGTCACTGCTGCTCTGCCGAAGGCTTCTTCCTGTCGCTCTGTCTGCAACAGAGAATGCGGCCTGCAGGGCGGGCCATTCGCTTCTTGGAGATCCCGTTTTCCATTCTCCAGCTGTTTTGAGGATCCCTGCAGAGTCTTGGCCAGGTTTTGGGTGTCCACTGGGTGGAGCTTAGGGTTCCTCTGCAGATACTTCCTGAGTGGTCATAGTTGTCTCCGACGGAGCGGGGCACTGTGGCCACGGGCACGTGGGCGTCCAGCAGCCCAGGCGGTCAGCCCTGCCTGGGAGGAAGGCGGTCAGGTGCCCAAGCTCGAGCTCCAGGAATTGTCCGCTTGCCACTGTCTTTTACTAAAGTAACTCCTAATTTGTTCCTCTTGTATTCCCAGCCTTAGCCACTGGAAACAAAACTATAAGGTCCAAAAAGTGTTTAGAATACCAGTAAGCTCTGGTCCCCCTTACCGTGATTATAAAAGTACCTGGGATTTGATTGGTCTCAAAGGAGCTGTGCAAACCGGTCCCCGTGTCCAGGCCACATTGTTTTTCCCCCCAAAGTCCCACTTCCCTGTCCTGCCCCTGGCCCTGCTCCCTGCAGCATGCTTTTCGAACAGCTGCATTGATCGGTGGTGAATACTTTCAAGGGTATTCGCACGCTGGCTGTGACTCACAGACTGTTAGTGGTGGTACCAGGCCTTATGCTTCCATCACCGAGATTTACCAGGACTCCTGGCATCAGCCACCTGCCGTGCTGTCTCCTATCCACGTAGAAATGCACTGTTGGTAGAGCTGCCCCCTCCAGACTTGAGCATTGGTAGCCTTTTGTGCTGGGATCTGATTTTACACAGAATCGGGTTTTAGGACTAGAGCAGTAACAGCGAGTAAAGCCTTTGCCTTGCACACAGCTAGCCTGGATTCAATCCTGGCCCCAGAGGATCTGTCACCGTCTCCATGTCCCCGCACAGCCAGGACCCCTTCCTTTCCACGTCCCCTCCTCGGAGACACATCTGGGCTTTGTCACGACGACACCAGGGCGGGCAGAGCTCTCCATCTGGCTCAGGCTGTCCACACAGGCTCATTTCTCTTCGGGTCCCTTGGCTCTGGGACGTGGGCACCGGGCCTCTGGGGTCCCTGCCAGTCTGTAGCTACCCAAGGTCGGTGGGTGGGCTCGCAGTGTGAGAGCACGGCTGACCCCACTGCGTGAGCTCTGCGGTGACCTCTGGTTTGTACACGGCTCCGTGACGGGGGACACCCCTTCCTTCTCAGCACCCGCCCCCCCCCCCCACCCCCCCCCCCCCCCCCCGGTGTCCTCTGAAGCTTCTTTCTCCTCCTGGTTTTAGTTTCCACCCTTGGGACCTTCTCTCCACCTTCCTCTTAACCATCCGCATGCAGCTTCTGGATTTCCTCGCTCTCTTTTCCTCATGGTTCTTCTGCATGTATCTTCCTCTGGACCAGGAGGGTGTTCTGCACTCGTGAAGAGGATCCGTCTTCTGCTGTGCCAGTGCTGCAGCCTGCCCTGGTCTCCTGCTTCCCCCCATCTCTCCCGCTCACCAGCTCACAGACCCTATTTCTTGGCCTTTTGGCCGACACGTGTCGTGGCTCCTGGCGCCCAGTGTCAGGGCCTCCGCCTCTCGCCTGGGGCCTGGGGGCTTCACAGGTCTTGGCCCTTCCTCTGCTCTCGCCCTTGGGAGCTCTGTCAGGACTGTGTGTTGGCGCCTCTTTATTCTCCATCTGTCAAGGACTCACCTATCTCTTAAGTCTCGTCAAACCAGGAAAGAGAATAACGCAGAGTCAGACGCATCCTTTTGGTTGGCCTCCTGCTTGCTGGTGGCAGTGCAGACATCTGCCCATCATCCTGCTCCAGGCACCCCATCTTGGCCTTGCCCCGAGGCGCCGCCTCATCATCCCCCAAGCCCCTGGGGCCGCATGTCCCGTGCTACCATTGCCCCGTGTTTCTAAATCTGTTTCAGAAAGCATCATAGCCAGCCACCTGCGCGTGCAGCCTCCAAACTTGGCAGCCCAGGCACAGTCTCTCCTAGAAATCGCCAAAAATTAGCAAAAGAGAAGTTATCCACCACCGAGAAAGTTAGTAAATCTCCCCCATTAGGAAGGTAAGTCCCGCCCGGCCCCCGCTTGCCCCGCCAGTGCTCTTCTAGCCAGGACTGGCTCCGGCTCAGTGGTGCTTTCTTCCCACGTGGCCTTCCAAGTGGAAGCCTGTTCGCGCGGGTGCTGACCTCATGGGCGCCTCCCGTGCCACCGCCCATCCCCAGGACAGCTTTGGCCCCCGTGGTCAGCTTCAGGTCCTGGGTTCTGCCCGCGTAGCACGGACTCAGCATTGCTGTAGCCCGTGAGCAGCCAGGGTGTCGGGGATCGGGCGCCAGGGCCAAGGAGGTGACGCCTCCGAGGCACGGCTGCTTGGCAGTTTCACCATCCGCCACGGCCCCTCCCTGCCGAGGCTGCTCCTCGCCCGTGTGCGTGCTAGTTCTTCCCGGAGGTGCCTGGCCAGCCACCTGCCATCCTTCTCCTCCTCCTCCTTCAGTCACTTCTCCTACCACCTCAGCCCTCCCTCGGCTCCCGTCCTGCTGCACTTCCGGGCAGAGGCAGCCCCTGCTCGGCTGCCTGGACCTGCCTCCTCCTCGCCGTCAGGGCCTTGTACCGGTCAGGCCCATTCCCTCCAGGCCGTCCCCTTTCGCTTCCCCAAGGTGCCCTCTGCCAACCTCAGCAGCCTGCTCACATGGTGTGGGGCTGGGCCCTTCACACAGAGACAGGAAATGAGCCAGCTAAAAGCTGCTCTGAGCGGTGAGCCCTCCAGCGGTGACGCGCGCGCGTGCGTGTGTGTGTGTGTGTGTGTGTGTGTGTGTGAGTGATACAGGCACTCCTACAGGCACTCCTACCCCTGGCTGAGTCAGCCTTCCTAGTTGCAGCTGTGGTGTTTTTCTTGGGTTCCATCAGTATATCTTACTGTGTGTTTGTGTGCGTGTGAGTGTGTGTGTGTATCGTGGTGTGTAGGGGGCATGGGGTGTTTGCTGTATGTATGCTGCGTATGTGTATAGGTGCTGTGTGTGTCCATGCATGCTTTGTGTATGTGTCGTGGTGTGTGTATGTGTATGCATGCTGTGGGGGGGGGGGGGGGGTGTATGTGTGTATTCGTGTGTGTGTGTGTGCGTGCGCGTGTGGGGGTCTGGTGAGACACTGCAGGGGTGCTTGCTTGCCTTGTGTGCCACTGCTCTGGCCCGATGCCTGGCACTGTATAGGGCCCCCTGCACACGGCTGAGTGCAGCCCACAAACAAGAGAAACCCTGGAGTGTGAAAGCCCAAGGCTGAGCCGCCTTCTGCACTGTGGCTCCCAGCATGCAGCTGGGAATGGGAAGGATGGGAAGGAGCGCCATTCCGGGAGGGGTCAGAGGACACTGGTGTGTGTTGTCATGCGTCATGTTCTGGATGACTTCTTTTTCCCCTGAGAATATCCGGGCCAGGAGGAGTGTCTAAGGTTTGTGCTCGCGGTGTCAGCAACTCACATATGTCGAGTAGAAGTGGCCAGGGATTGATGAGGCCATTCCGGACAGCGTGGTCCTGGTGCCCATCTGAAACCCCTTTTCTAGCCCTGCTGGGACACGCCCCTGCCCCCTGCTGTGTTCCTGCGGGTTGTACGGGTGGGGGTCCTGCTGAAGTGGAGGAGGAACGAGGACCCCAAGAGGAGAGCTGCTTTGACTCAGGTCCTCTCCGGTGGACAGAGCTAGGAGCAGAATGCGGCCTCCGTGCCCCTGGGGAGGGACACACCATGCAGGAAGAGAGGATTGCAGCCCCAGAGTGCGTATGCTGCACCTCTGCTCTCCCAGTGCTCATAGAGGTGCCACTGCGCCTGCGGGGCTGTGGTGTGTAGGTGTGCCGTGGCTCTGCCGAGGCGGGCTGGACACCGTGAATAACACCCCACAGGAGCAGGGGAGGCAATGCTGGGGGAAATGAGGGAAAACTAATAGACGTTTGATTCCAAGGTGTCCCAGCCTTTGATCCACTAAAAATGAACCCTAATAATAATAACAACAACAACAGCCTCTTGGCTTTCTGCAGAGCACGGTCAGGCTGGCTATGCCCAGTCTTCTGGTGTCCCCACGCCCCTGGCTGCCGGCAGTCGCGCCTTCTAACTCTCCCCACCACCTGATGTTTCACTACAGATCCAAGGCACAGCTCTCCCCATCCACCAAGCGCCGGCGAGAGGCCAGCCCTCCCGGGGCTCGCACCCGTGGCCAGCAGAGAGTGGAGGAGGCCCCCGCGAAGAAGGCCAAGCGGTAACCCCGAGCACAGAGAGCCGGGGGCCCAGGCGTGTGCTCTCTGCCTCCCAAGCCCTGGTCTCCAGGGTAGAGACACGCGTTCAGGCGGAGGAGAGTAAGCCTGCCGTGTCTCTGGCTCAACAGAGGAGTTGCCAGTTTAACATTCAGGGTCGGGGCTCCCCACGTGACACGTCTGATGTGAACTCCTCAGCCCCCAGCCGCCACCTCCCGGCGGAATCCTGTGTACAGTATAGAAACCTGTAAAAATAGGCTGTATTTTACTCCATGTACTATGCTAATCAATGGACACTATTTATTTTACAGAGAAAACATATCTGTGATCTTTACTATATATCTGTTTATTTTATTTTTCTTTTTTAAATAAAAAGGTTTTAAATGCGCCGCAGTCATATTCATAGGACTGTTGTAGGACTCAGCCTGCCCCTGACCACGACCCTCCCAGTGTGACCCCGCAGGACACACAGAACCTTCTCGCATGTATGCCAGTGCAGTAGTCTAGCTGAATAAAGCGGCTCCGTGCCCTGCTGCTCCTGGGTGGCTCCCCAGTTGTAAGCCTGCCGCTTGCCCTTAGAGTTTATTCGCATCTCTGACTCTCCCCACCAGCCCCGCTGTCCGTGCGGCCTGGTTCTGGCTCTGGCCATGTTGCAGCACAGCACCTGAGCAGAAACCCCTCTCTGTTCATTGCCCCCAGCCCCCAACCCTGCGCCCCTCCCCGGCTTCTTCCCATTTTGTCCTTCCGTGAAGAGCAGCACGTAGGAGACAGGCACTGCTGTCTGTGGGGCTCCGGGATATATTGTTTTATACACAGTTATTTCAGCAGAGGAGCTTGCCTCGTGCCAGATTCTTTTTTAAATATGTTTTAACTCCCATGTGAGCAGACTGTCCAAGTTAAGTTTTTTCATAAGATTAAACTTTTCTCAAGATCAAATTCGTCTCTAGCAATGATGTGATGAGTTGCCAAATAATTGAGATTATTTTCAAATGTTTTGTTCACATTATTGTTTTATAATGAAAATTAACATTCAATATGTGTGAATTTGTTTTTGTTGGGGGGTTGGTTTTTTGGGGGTTTTTTTGGATTTTTTTTTTGGCTCTTAATGTAAGGTGGATATTTCTGTCATTTTACATGGTTTCTTACTGAAATTTTATATATAAATTATAAAATGTTTCCCAAATTTTGAGTGGTTATTTTTTTTCTCATATTTTAATGTTTCTCCCTGTGAAGTCATTTCTTCACATCATTGGTCTTGACTCATCGCATTGCTCTAGTTTCACTTTCAGTGATGAATGAGTGATAATCTCTCTCTCTCTCTCTCTCTCTCTCTCTCTTTCTCACACACACACACACACACACACACACACACACACACACTGGAGAGCAGATCTGGTTTTGGCCTTAGTGACAAAGAACGTGAGAGTTCCTTGCATTCCTTTATTTGGATGAGCTTCACCAGAGCTCAAAACTTTAGTGATTTGCCTTAACATCAGTTAAGAGCAGAATCCAGATTCCACGACTGGTAACTTTGGCACTGTTGCTTTCAGATTGGCTTCCCAGAAGCGTGCGAGTCCCATGAAACCAATGTCATGTGGGTTGGAGAGATGGCGCAGGCTGTGAGGTCACATTGTGTCTCCGTGGGGCAGAGTTCAGCCCAGGCGTTTCCTGGTCAGCTAGACACTTTGACTTCTGTGCGTCGAGACCCCCATGTAGGGCCCCAGAAATACTCTGGAGCTGGGCCTCTCTGCTTCTACTAGCACTTAGGGAAGGAAGGAATGCTAAAAATGCCATGTGCCCAGGACAGTGCCCAACCCACTCTCAGGCTCGGAATGCAGGTTGCCACTGAGCCAGCCCTCCAAGACGTGACATGAGCCATCTCCAAACTGCTGTTGCCCTGGTCCCTGCTGGCTCACTACTTCCAGCAACACTGAAAAACACTGAATTTCACCTGTGCGGCCGTGAAATTCCACTGACGCAGCTCAGGATGGCCAGCTGCGACACCGAAGGGGCAGAAGGTCCCCTGGCTGAAGGAAACGGTCCCTCTTCACTGGAGCTCGTGATCCACAAGACACCTGTCAGCGCCCTCCTTGGAAGTACATCAATGAGCCCATCCCTGGGCTTCTGAGATACAAGAACATTCTAACATCCCTGCCATGACCTCCCAATGGAGTGACCATGAACTGCACTTCTTTCAACAAGATCCCGTGAGTGACTCTTGAGGCCAGGAAGAGAGACATTAAATGTCCTGTAGCCTTAGGGTTCTAAAGCTGTGAGGTTCTTCTCCCAAACATCTTTGCATCTGAGAAACTAGAGATCAGAGAGAGATAATTCAAAGAAAAGGCCGAAAGCACTTGCCTTTTTCTTTTGTGTGGTGCTCAGGGCCTCACAAGGCAATGCAAGACAAGTATTTCACGCCTGCAGCCCAACCGCTCTGCCCCAGTCTGATATTCCTACTGTTGTCCTGTTTGCAAGAGCACTGTTTTCTGAAATTCCTACTGAGCCCTCTTTAGGAATAAATCAGGCAGTACAGTTTTTCAAGGCACTGTCCAACGCTTCCCAGGGAAGGAAAATTGTTTCACAAACACCATGTCCTACCGAGAGTGCCAGCCTGGGGAAATACAGTTTGCTTGCCACCAGGAATGCAAGCATTGGGCCCAGGTCTCAAGGTTGGTGTGAGTCGCAGGTCACTGTGGGTGAAGAAAATGACTTTCCTGAGAGAAGCCAGACAAAGCGTCGCCTGTCAGCCCAGGGCACCGAGGCTTTGTTTGGTCTCTTCAAATATGAAACACATTACAGCTTTAAGAAAGGTTGGAAACTCGGGGAAAGTAGGTCTGGGAAACGGGAGGAAGGAATGCGAGCAGTGATGAATGAGATCATTTTTACCACCAAATCAACCTTCCAGAAACTTCTAGGAGAATAGAGCTTTGCATCATGCAAAATCAGTAATTCACAGAAGTCCGGCTACCATCAACCGCTAGTTCCCAGAGGCTCTTCCTCACCCTGTAGACTGGGGGGGGGGGGGGGGGCAGAGAAGGGGGGTGCACAGGGCACATTAACATGGCAACATGTCCAAGGAATTCGGAAGAGATACCTCGCTGGCGCATCCCTGAGGCACTGATGACCTGGGAGCAAGGAACCGATTTCCAAAGCTGTCTTCACTTAAATCACTTCCCGTTAGTTGTCGATTTGCTCGAGCGGGTGCCAGTAATGTCTCCATTTGTCCCTGTCGCATGCTAGTGTAGCCCAATGGCATCTGTTCGCTCCGGGAACATGAAGGGCTTCAAACCGATCGTTCATGATCTTGACGAAGAAGTCTGACCATCTGGTAGGTGGGCGGCCACGCGGTCCTTTGACATCCTGTGGAATCCAGTCGGTAACAGCTCTAGTCCAGCAGTCGTCTTTAAATCTCATTATGTGACCAGCCCATCTGATTTTCGACACCTTGGCAAACGAGACAGCGTCCCTGATTCTTGATCGTCGACGGATGTCAGAACTCCGGATTCTTTCTCTCATTTGAGTGAAACGTGATATTCCAAGCATAGCTCTTTCTATTCTTCTTTGGGAGACCTGAATAGCGTTCTCATCCTGTTTGCGTAGGGCCCAGGTCTCTGAGGCATGTTAATGCAGGAAGAACAGTGGAATCAAAGAGATGTGCCCGGAGCCGGAGGTTCTTCGTCCTCTTAGCTATTTCTTTGATGTTCTTGAAGGCGTTCCAAGCCGCTCTCTTCCTCCTGCGCAGCTCGGGTGCAAGGTCATTTGTCATGTTGACCTCTCGACCTAGGTACACATAGCTGTTGCATTCGGAGATGGTCGTTCCATTGAGAGTGAATGGGGCATCAGGAACGAGGCTGTTTCTCATAAACATTGTCTTCGTAAGATTCAGCTGTAGTCCTACCTTTCCACATTCACGGTCAAAGTCGGCCAGCATTTGTGCCGCTTGGCTGATGTTTGGTGTTATTAAAACAATGTCATCAGCAAAGCGGAGGTGGTGTAGTTGCCGACCATCTATCTTCACTCCCATTCCTTCCCATTCCAGTTGTCGCATGATGTTCTCGAGGGTGGCACTGAAGAGTTTCGGTGAAATGATATCACCCTGCCGCACCCCTCTCTTGACATCAACGATCACTTCTTTGTAGAATGGTGAGATCCTGGTAGTGAATCTGCAATACAGCTCACGGAGGATCCTGATGTATTGGGCTTGAATGCCCTGATTGGCTAGGGCTTCAATGACTGCTTCTGTCTCAACAGAATCAAAGGCCTTCTTTAAATCAATGAACATTAAAAAAAGTGGCATCTTGAACTCCCGAGAAACCTCAATGAGCTTGGTTATCATGTGGATATGGTCGATGATGCTGAATCCTTTGCGGAACCCGGCTTGCTTGCATGGTTTTCCTTCATCTAGTGTTCTGCCAATCCTATTTAGGATGATTCGAGTGAACAACTTGTAGATGACAGACAATAGGCAGATCGGGCGATAGTTGCCAATGGCATGGATGTCTCCCTTCTTGAACAGTAGTATGGTCCTGCTGGTTTTCCATTGGGATGGAACCTTGCATTCAGACAGGTAGCGAGTGAAGAGCCGAGCCAGTGTATTGATGAGTACTGACGGCAGGTTCTTCAGGTGTTCAGGTCTGACCTTGTCTGGGCCGGGTGCTGTTTGTTTCTTTACCGACGAAATAGCGTGTCGGATTTCAGAAGGGAGAACGTTGGGAACGACATATCCATCCTGTGGAATTTGGTATGTGGGCAAGTGGACATGGCTATCGAAGAGATTTGAGTAGAAGTCATGGATAATCTTCTCCATTGCCATTCTGGAGGATGTGATGGATCCATCAGGACGTCGGAGGGCAGTCATCTTGGTCTTGTAGTTGGCGAAGGACAGGCGGGCCTTACGAATACTTTTCCCGGCTTCTGCTGCATCTACCAGTACTTCCGCTCTTCTCTCTTTGAGGTCTTCCTTGATCGCATCTCTGCACTGCTTTGCGAGCTCGGACGTTAGCTTGCGGTTGCCTGAGGCATGCCCCAAACCACGCTGGCGAATTAGCTCAAGAGTTTTCGAAGATAGGCGATTTTTTGTGGCTATATCTCTCTTGGCGTTCCTTGCACCTTCATGGAGGTGCTGAACCAGTCGATCGTATTCCTCGTCAATGTTGTAAACAATGACATCTTCCCATGTTGCCGCAATACTACCAAAGAGTTCCCAGTTGGTGGTCATTCTGGGAGTTCTCTTTTTTAACTTTGCAGCCCTTTCTCCCCGCTCTGTGAAGTAGAATTTTGCACGAAGGAGACGGTGGTCCGATCCCATTCGAAATTTTGGGACAACAGCAACATCAGTCAGGCAAAACCGACACTACTTCCGAAGCTGTCTATCAGTTGATAATCAGGAGACGAAGATTGCTGACTCCTGCTCAGAGACAAGCTTATTCGGGCAAACAGTGATTATATAAAGCAAGGCCGAAGGGGGGGCGGGGTTGGTGGTTGCATGGTTTCGTGCAGCTTCCAGGGGCACAAACTCAGATCCTCTCAAGTTAGTCTAAACAGGAGCAAAACTTAG